GGGAGGAATTTCACTCTCAAAGAGTAAGGACATATAGATGCTTAACAGGGCGGGAGAGATGGTCTTGGGGTTACAGGACTCAGGAGCCCTGGATCCCATTCCTGGTTCTCACAAAGACTCACTGTGTGACCTTGGGTGAGTCCCTGCCTCTCTCGGCATCTCAGTTTCTCCCCTGTGTAAAATGGGAATATGATCCCAACCCCCCCTGCTTTGGGATCTAGTGCTGAGATGCTGCCATAGAATTGCTGTGCATTGTCATTGCAATAGCACAGTCTCACCTGTACAGACTGGCTCAGTGGCGCCTGCTTGTTCTCTCCTCCCCTCTGATCGAGCAGTTCACTGAGCAGAGAAATCTCCCGGGACAGTTCAGAGATGCTCTCGTCCCTTCTCTTGACAATGGTTCTGTCCAGCTTTTCCAGCTGGGACAGCAGCAGCTGCTCCTGCTTCTCCAGAAACCCACGTAGATCCTTCCATTTGCAGAGGATCCTTTGTCTCTCGGCTTCCATCTGTTTCTGCAATTACAGGGAGAGGGTGGCATGGTAACCAGGGGAATATCATACATTTGTCTCCCAGCAAGATGGGAGAGATATTGGCCAGAGCCAGGATCCCTTATGGTGCATGATGGGAAGTTCACTTAGAACAGGAAGGATGGAGGGATCAGGGCAGGGGAGAGCCGCATGTCACTAATGACAACAGGATAGACTTTTCTCTCAATCTCACAACTTGCATTGAACCAAAATCTCCATCCAGTCAGCCCACATTTTATCTCCTTTCGGTGCTCTACCTTCAAGATTTTAAGGTTAGGAGGGACCATTAGATCATCTAGACCAGTGGTTCTCAACCCGCAGCCCAATGAGCACGCAGCTGCAGCCAGTCACACTGGGTTTACAATGGCACAGGGCCCATACTCAGAAGGGTCCCCGGCACCTGGACTGTAGCCCCACCTCATGCTCTGCCCACGCTCCGTTCTGAAGCCCCGTCCCCGCTCGGTCTCTTCGCCCTGGAGGCCCAGCCCATCACTCGCTCCTCTCCACCACCTCCCCTCCTGGCCCCCTGCTCCCTCCTCTCCGCCCCTCCCACCCCGTGTAAGCAGTGGGCAGGGCCTTGGGGGGAAGAGGCCAAGATAGGGCAGGGCCTCGGGGCAGAGCCCAGGCAGAGTGGGGGCAGGGCCACGGAGTGGGGGTGTGTGTAGGGCAGCCCACAATGGTAAATAGGTTGAGATTCACTGATCTAGCTGGTCTCTGGTATATCACACACTGTCCAATTTCAAACCAGTGGCTCCTATATTGAACCCAACAACCGGTATCTGACTAAAGCAGGTCTTCCAGAAAGACATCCACTCTGGATTGGAAGGAATCAAAAGATGGAGAATCCACCGCTTCCCTTGGTAGTTTGTCCTACTGGTTAATCACCCTCACTTTTTTATAAAAGTGTCTTATTTCTCATTTGAATTTGTCTGGCTTCAGCTTCCAGCCATGGGTTCTTGTTACGCTTTTCTCTGACAGTGAAAGAGCCCTTCAGGACCCAGTATTTTCTTCCTATGGAGGCCCTGTGCCACCTTTACAGGAGCCCTGGTCCCTGTAATATCTGAACAGCTTGGGCAGGGGTTTTTCTGGGCCAAGACGCAGACAGACGCTTTCCTACATGGCAGCCACTCACACTCCGAGGGCATCACATGACCCAACCCCTGACCGATCCTGCCCTTCTCCCTGGGCTGCAATGGGGATGGTTCCCTGACGGGGCTGGCAGGACGAGCCCTGTGTTGCCATGTCACTCAGGGTACTGTGACACCAGGCAAGCCTTGGGGAAGGGTTTCTGGGCACCTACCAGCAGCTTCTCACTTTGCATCTCCTCATCAGCTTTGGCTTCTTCTCTCTCTTTTATCAGACAGGCCAGCCGCTCTTTCGACATATCCTGGAAGAAGCGGGGGTGGGAGTCAGGTGTAAGAGGATTTGATTTTACAGACAGTGTCACAGCTGCCAGATTTCAGGGACCCCTCTGCCCAGCAGTATCCCTGGCACACACTCACACAGATCCTAGGGCAGGATTTGGCCCTTAGCTTTCTTTCTTTAAAGCACCGATACTCAGACTGAGGCTTGAGAACTGCAAGTGGCTCTTCAATGTGTCTCCTGCGGCTCTTTGCAGCACATGATAGTAAAACACTGTGTGATTTCATTATTAACCAATCTATGTTATTAACCAATCAGGATGCTTTTATTATGTTATTAACCAATTATGGCATTAACTTGCACTAAGTTATTAACTTATTTGCTTTGAGAATTATATATATATATATATATATATATATATATATATATATATATATAAAAGCTCTCCTTGAATCATAGGATGATTGTCAAATAATTGCAGCTGAGTTGTGGACAAGAAATGGAAAATTGCAGAAAAGTAATAATGGACCTTTATTAATTGCGGTAATTTGGAAAAGCTGGCTGACAGCAGAAGCCCTGGCCACCCATAGCTGATAGCGAGAGTCCTGGCTGTCTGGGGCTGACAGCTGGAGCCCTGCCATGCATGGGGATGACAGCCGGAGCCCTGGCCGCCCAGGGATGTCAGTGAGGCTGACTGTTAAAAGATAACATACATACACCTGAATTCAGCACCAAAATTGTGGTGGAAGTCTAATATTGTGGGATCCACAATTTCCGCAAAATTGTAAATTAAGTAGGGCTATATATATATATATATTTCCCCTGTCATACTGTTTAAATATGACTATATAGTACTATAGTAAATGAAACAATGAATTCACACAACTGTGGCTCTTTTGGCTAATAGTGATCACTAATTTGGCTCCTAAACCACTGACTATCACTGCTTTAAAGCTACAGCAGATGGGAGAGGGGATGGCAATAAGGGGCTGGATTGTCCTTACATAAACAGAGAGAACTGGAAGTAGTAATGATACAGCACAAAAGCACAGCTCCAAAACCTGCCGACCCTCCCCTCCTCAACATCCTCCTCCCCCCCGCAGTTCCAAACTCCTTCCCAACCCCCTGACATGCCCCCAAGCCCAGCTCCAAATATTGCCACACACCCCATATCTTCTCCAGAGACCCTGGGTGCACACCATCAATGTATCCCACATCCCCATCACCCCAAAGCCAAATACCCCCCCAACCAAAATCCCAGCTCTTAAAAACCCCATGTGTTCAATTCCCCCGGCCCCCACACACACTGTACCCACACATCCTAGCTCCAAACAAACACCCCCCACATTAAGATGACCCACTATGAATATCCGCTTACTTTCGGAAGTGGGGGTGGGGAGAGGCTGAGACTTGGCACCATGCTCTGCAGTGGGCATTGGGCTATAGCTCCCCACCTTCATCTCCCGACCCCAGCCCCAGCCTCTCCCTGGTTCAGTCACACCCACCCTGCAGCAAGGGCTGTTCTCTCTAGTTTGTGACTAGCCCATCGCTTCTCACCTTAGTGCCTTGGGTCATCCCCCGCTCTGGGCCCCACAGGGGGAACTCAGGGTCCCTGGAGCAAACCACGGAGATGGGTTCCTGATCCCCTTGGCAGGACACTGTCAGCACTTCCCTGGGTCTACCTCATGTCCCACCTCTGCTCGCTCCTCTCCCCCACCCCATGCACTGAGCTGCCTGATGATTCCCATATGGCCAGCTCTTCTGATTTGAGTCTCATGATGTATTGTGATTTTTCCCCTAAGGCCCCAGAACCTGGAGTCGTGTGACTACACCAGACTCTCAGCTTTCACTTTCTACAAAAATTAAGTTTCTCATCCTTATGGTTGCAATTAAAAAGCATCAACGTGGTGAACCTTCAAGGCTCAAAAGCCAGAAAGAAAATAGAAAAGGGTGACCATACGTTCCGTTTCGGCCGGGACAGTCCCCTTTTTTAAGCTGTGTCCCGCCCGTCCCAACATTTTTGGCAAAAGTGGGCATTTGTCCCATTTGCTCTTGCCAACTTGATCAGATGGCAAGAGCAAATGGGACAAATGCCACTTTTGTCAAATAAGTGGGGTGTGGAGGAACATGCGGTCGGGAGACAGGGCTTAGGCAGGGGGCAGGCAGGGCTCTGGCAAGCAGTGAAGCGAGCCTTGCGCGGGGAGGGGAGGGGGGCAGGGCTCAGGCGAGTAGCTGGGGCCAGTCCCACACAGGGTGGGAGTGGCTCAGGCAAGTGGCTGGGGCCAGCCCCGTGCCATCTCCCATTTTCCCTTTGGGAATATGGTCACTCTAAAATAAAGAGATCTCCACGTGTGTTATTTTTTTTTAAAAATCTCACGATTCTTAAGTCAATCTCTTGATTTTCAAATGCTTCGGTGGGCAATAGCATCATCCCCACCACGCTCCACAGAGCCTCCTGCAGGGAACTTTGAAGGAGGAGCCAGGGCCCCGCAGGAAGGAAGGAAGCACCAGGCAGCAGTCAGTCTGTGTGCACATGGCTAGCATGCCAGCTGCAGCTGCAGCACTTCTGTCAATACTTCTCTGCCTCAGTTTTACAAGCATGGTATCCCACACTCACGTTATTATTACCCAGTATGTGGCACATGAAACATGCAGGACGGGCTTCTGGCATCTAGGACAGCAAGGGCTCCACTCCGGTTCCTCCAGGGGGTGTGGGATGCAGGCCCGCGGGCAGATGTTGTGCCCACAGCTGGCATCTATGAAATATTCCAGGCACACGGGGCAGGAGGAGAGCGTATCTGGCAGGCTCGGCCCTGGGCTCCCGTTACCGGCCATGGCTGCTCCGCACATACAAAGGGCTCTAGTCTCTGCTGGGGTTGGGGGCGAGGGGGGCAAGGCGAGGTTGTGGTGGGAAATGGAGAGGCGTCTCCTCGCCAGGGATTGGCTCATGTTCTGGGGGCCCCCGCCAGGGTCTTTGTGACACTGGGAGCATTGAGACAAAAGTCAGCCTGGAGGGGAGAGAAAACACCCTGATCCCAGGCAGCCGGGTCTGCAGATCCACTGGGGGAGCGGGAGGAGAGAGCCAGGCTGGGGGGAAGGGAAGGGGAGCGGCAGGGCTGGGGAGACCGGACGCCTGGGTTCTAACCCCAGGGTCTGGGAAGGTTCGGGTCCAACCCGAGAAAGCCCCAGGGGCGGTTGCAGCCCGAGTCGCTATGGAGGGACGCACAGGAAGGGAGCGGTGTGCGGCTGAGAGCGGGTGGCTGGTGTGGGAGGAAGGGGAGGGGGAGAGGAAAGAAGAGAGGGATCAGAGTCTCGGCATCATCCCCTTGCCTGGGAGCTGCTCATCAGCTCGGCTGTTAGAAGAAGCGGCTTCTGCTGCCAACCTTGGGAGCCCGGGCTGAGCCGCTACTGCTCCCCTCCCAGCTGCGTCTGTGCTGGGGAGAGCCCTGCATTAACCCCCTCTGGGCCCAGCTGGGGGACTTTCTCCGGGGGCCGGAACCAGCCCCGGGCTCTGCCGACACCAGCCCCTGAGCCGGAGCCTGCAGGTGAGGGGAGAGACCCGGGGAAAGGGCTGGGGCCGGGCAGGAAAGTGGCTCCGCACCAACGGCCCCTGGGAATCTGCTCCCTTGTTTAATGCGCCTGCCGAAGGGATTGGAGCTGCCTTAACAGCAAGGCTGCTGCTGCTTCTGGTCTCAGTCTGCTCTGAGCACTGGTCAGGATCTGTCCTAGGGGCAAAGTTGCGGGGTGGTGGCTTCAGATGGGGAAATTGGGGAGGAAGAAGTGGGACTTAAGGGGCACCATCAACAGACTCCCCTCCCCAAGGGGGTGTCCCCTTTTTGTCTGAGGGAGGGTAGGGTTGTCAGGAAGGTTAAGGGTGAAAAATATGACAGAGAAGTAGAGAGACAGTGTGAAATGTGGTCAGTTTAATCATCTCTGAAGTTAGGTGAACAACGGGAGAGACAAAGGGGTGGCTCACAGGAGAGGGGAGAGTGTGTGTGCAGTAGTGATGGAGGGGGTGGGGTGGGGTTGGTTAAAGGCGCAGCTGCTGTCAAAAAAGCAATCAGAATGTTGGGAATCATTAGGAAAGGGATCTCACAAAAGTGGGTGACGGGGCAACAAAATGGCAGATGAAATGTAATGTTGACCAATTCAAAGTAATGCACATTGGAAAACATAATCCCAACTATACATATAAAATGATGGGGTCTAAATTAGCTGTTAACACTCAAGAGAGATCTTGGAGTCATTGTGGATGGTTCTCTGAAAACATCCACTCAGTGTGCAGCAGCAGTCAACAAAGCGAACAGAATGTTGAGAATCATTAAGAAAGGGATAGATAATAAGACAGAAAATAAGACATATTGCCTCTCTATAAATCCATGCAACGCCCACATCTTGAATACTGCGTGCAGATATGGTCGCCCCATCTCAAAAAAGATATATTGGAATTGGAAAAGGTTCAGAAAAGGCAACAAAAAATTATTAGGGGTGTGGAACAGCTTCCATACAAGGAGAGACTAATGAGACTGGGATTTTTCAGCTTGGAAAATAGACAGCTAAGGGGGGATATGATAGAGGTCTATAAAATCATGACTGATGCAGAGAAAGTAAATAAGGAATTGTTATTTGCTCCTTCTAATAATACAAGAACTAGGGGTCACCAAGTAAAATTAATAAGCAGAAGGTTTAAAACAAACAAAAGGAAATATTTCTTCACACAATGCACAGTCAACCTGTGGAACTCTTTGCCAGAGAATGTTGTGAAGGTCAAGACTATAACAGGGTTCAAAAAAGAACTAGATAAGGTAAAAAGAAAAGGAGGACTTGTGGCACCTTAGAGACTAACCAATTTATTTGAGCATGAGCTTTCGTGAGCTACAGCTCACTTCATCGGATGCATACCGTGGAAACTGCAGCAGACTTTATATACACACAGAGATCATGAAACAATACCTCCTCCCACCCCACTGTCCTGCTGGTAATAGCTTATCTAAAGTGATCATCAAGTTGGGCCATTTCCAGCACAAATCCAGGTTTTCTCACCCTCCACCCCCCCCCCCCCCACACAAACTCACTCTCCTGCTGGTAATAGCCAGAAGTTGGGAATGGGCGACAGGGGATGGATCACTTAACTTATCTGTTCTGTTCATTCACTCTGGGGCACCTTGCCATGGCCACAGTTGGAAGACAGGATACTGGGCTAGATGGACCTTTGGTATGACCTTGTATGGCCGTTCATATGTTCTTATTCTTCATTTACAAATATAACCCCACTACCAACCTCTCTAAGAGAAGCAGTGGGGTCCTCTCAAATTTTGGTTTGATAGATAAACCTCCGTGGTTGTGAAGTGCCAGTAGGGAAGTGTTTGCTCTATCATGCACATCAGGAGTAAAAGGATTTGGACAGTGTTACTTTCTTCCTACCTTGTAAAAATGTTACCCACCCATCCCCACTGAAATGATCTGCACAGATCACTTGGGAGGATGGGGGCATTCAGTGGTTATTCCTTATCAAGGGCACATCAGAGTAGAAGGATCCTGAATGTTCAGCTGTTAAAGGGATATTTCTGCTGCCAGATAGTCTGTATTTTTTTTTAAATCTTTAACACTCACATCACTTCATAATAGCTTCAAAAATCATGTTTGACTGGGGAGAAAGAGCCTATCAAATTTCAGACTCTCATGCTTCAGAAAAGTCTGTGTTTCTCTAAATAATATTTCTGTTGGACACACCCATGCTTTCATAACTTCCTGGAAAATAGCAATGTTTCATTGGAGAGAACAGGCCTGTCAGATTTTATCCCCCAAAATATAAATTTCAGACCATAATGTGCATACTTTCCCTTTCTCGTCAGCATTTTATTTATTAGTGTCACTAACTAGTGGCAGAGGGATGTAACTAGAGCTTTATCAAGCACATAGTTGTGACCAAATCCTGCCTGACAGTTGCTGAACTATAATTCAGACAAGGCATTAGGTTGGACATTAGGAAAAACTTCCTAACTGTCAAGGTGGTTAAGCACTGGAATAAATTGTCTAGGGAGGTTGTGGAATCTCCATCATTGGAGAATTTTTGAGAGCAGGTTGGACAAACACCTGTCAGGGATGGTCTAGATAATACTTAGTCCTGCCACGAGTGCAGGGGACTGAACTAGATGAGCAAGGTCCCTTCCAGTTCTATGATTCTATGTACCCACAATTTTTAAAGGTTACCCAAAAAACAGTTGGGTTCATGACCAATTTCCCCCCTTGTGCTCAATGAAAAAGGATCTGAAAGAGACTTTGGTTTTCTTCTTTTTTTTTAAATATTAGAAGTACACAAGTATTCTAATATTTTCTAAAAGACTGTATGGACAACTGAAGAACTATTAGGTTTACAAAATTTAGGGAACAGAGCAAAGGAAACATGATTTTATCCCAGGATTTTTTTTTTTAAAGTATCAGTCACTGTAGTTAGAGCTGTGTGAAACTGGAATTTCAGGGAAAATTCTGTGTTTTTTAAATTTGTTCCAGATCAGAAAGAAATGTAAAAATTTGGTATTTCCCTTGACTGGACACAATATTCCAGCTGAGGCCTAATCAGCATGAAGTAGAGCGGAAGAAGTATTTCTCGTGTTTTGCTTTCAACACTCATGCGAATACATATCAGAATAATGTTTTTTTTTTTTTTTTTGCAACAGTGTTACATCGTTGACTCATATTTAGCTTGTGGTCCACTATGACCCCCAGATCCCTTTCCACAGTACTCCTTCCTTGGCAGTCATTTCCCATTTTGAATGTGTGCAAGTGATTGTTCCTTCCTAAGTGGAGTACTTTGCATTTGTCCTTATTGAATGTCATCCTATTTACTTCAGACCGTTTCTCCAGTTTGTCCATATCATTTTGAATTTTAATCCTAGCCTCCAAAGAACTTGCAACCCCTCCCAGCTTGGTATTGTCTACAAACTTTATAAGTGTGCTCTCTATGCCAGGGGTGGCCAACCTGAGCCTGAGAAGGAGCCAGAATTTACCAATGTACATTGCCAAAGAGCCACAGTAATTCGTCAGCGGCCCGCATCAGCTCCCCCACCCCTGCTCCCCACGCCTCTCACCCACCGGCAGCCCCGCCGACCGGCGCCTCCCCCTCCCTCTGTGCACCTCCCGAACAGCATGCAGGAGGCTCTGGGGGGGGGGGGGGTAGGGGGAAGGAGTGAGGTTATGGAAGGCTCAGGAGAGGGCCCTGGAAGGGGTGGAGTGGGGGCAGGGCCTGTGGCAGAGCCAAAGGTTGAGCAGTGAGCACCTCCCGGCACATTGGAAAGTTGGCACCTGTAGCTCCATCCCTGGAATCAGTGTCTATACAAGGAGCCGCATATTAACTTCTGAAGAGCTTCATGTGGCTCAGGAGCCACAGGTTGGCCACCTCTGCTCTATGCCATTATCTAAATCATTGATGAAGATATTGAAGACAACTGTACCCAGATATAATCCCTGTGGGACCCTACTTGATATGCCCTTCCAACTTGACTGTGAACCACTGATAACTACTCTGTGGTGATGGTTTTCCAATCAGTTATGCAGTCACCTTATAGTAGCTCCATCTCGGTTGTATTTCCCTAGTTTGTTTATGAAAAGGTCATGCAAGACAGTCTCAAAAGCCGTATTACAGTCAAGATATACCACATTTACTGCTTTCTGCCATTCACAAGGCTTATTACCCGGTCAAAGAAAGCTATTAGGTTGGTTCTTGACAAATCCATGCTGACTGTTACTTATCACCTTATTATCTTCTAGGTGTTTGCACAGTGATTGCTTAATTATTTGCTCCATTATTTTTCCGGATACTGAAGTTAAGCTGACTGGTCTGTAATTCCCCAGGTTGTCCTTATTTCCCTTTTTATAGATTGGCACTATAATTGCCCTTTTCCAGTCCTCTGGAATCTCTCCTGTCTTCCATGACTTTTCAAAGATAATTGCTAATGGCTCAGATATCTCCTCAGTCAGCTCCTTGAGTATTCTAGGATGTATTTAATCAGGCCATGGTGACTTGAAGACATCTAACTCTTCTAAGTAATTTTTAACTTGTTCTTTCCATATTTTAGCCTCTGATCCTATGTCATTTTCACTGGCATTCACTATGTTTGACGTCCAATCGCTACTAACCTTCTTGGTGAAAACTGAAACAAAGAAGTCATTGAGCACCTCTGCCATTTCCACATTTTCTGTTATTGTCTTTCTCCCCTCATTGAGTAACTGGCCTACTCTGTCCTTCATCTCCCTCTTGCTTCTAATGTATTTGTAGAATGTTTTCTTGTCACCCTTCGTCTCTAGCTAGTTTAATCTCGTTTTGTGCCTTAGTCTTCCTAATTTTGTCCTTACATGCTTGTGTTATTTGTTTATATTCATGCTTTGTAATTTGACCTAGTTTCCACTTTTTGTAGGACTCTTTTTTGAGTTTCAGATCAATCAAGATCTCCTGGTGAAGCCAGGGTGGTCTCTTGCCATACTCCCTATCTGTCCTATTCATATGAGTATCTGAATATCCACAGGGCTTAAATAGACACAGACTCCTTGTGTCCCCTGCCTTGGGCTGGTTCCCTCTCCTGAGGTTCTCTGGTTCCCTCCCCTGAGGTTCTCTGTATTGCAGTCAAGATATACCACATCTACTGAGGTTCTCTGGCCTTCTGCAGTGTTGTGACAAGTGGCTTATTATCTGCTCTCTGCCCAAGTAATCAATGCCCCATGTTTGGGGATCCCTAAGTTTATTCCAGGAGACACACAACATGTTTCCCTCCAGTCACTAGGCTTTCCCATGGGGTCTTCATGAACATTTCCCCATCTTTGAGGATGAAATATCCCTCCTGGAAAGAAAGAGGCTGGATGGGACCGGGTGGGATGTTCTCTCTGGGAAATGGTTAATGGAGCTATAACAAACTCTGATAATCACCCCTTTCCATCCTATGAGCAGGACCCTCCTCCTGCCCCCTCCCCGCCCGCGACCACCTCACCAGACCTTATTTCCCACATGGACCAAGGGGAAGAACCCAGTGCCCCAGACCCTCAAGATTCTTCAGAAAAGGAGACACTGAGCGACTCCCACATAGGTAAGGAATAAGTCAAACCAAACCCCAAAACTGCCAATGCCCCTGTAAGCGCTCTGACCCCTGCCTCTTCTCAGCTCAGTCAGAAAAGTAGCTAGCAGGTGTCATAGCCTCATGGCAGACATATGGCCTGTCACCCATCCTGACTGAGACCAGCCAGTAGTGACCTCTCCTCCACGTTCAGGTGGGCTGAGGAGGAAGAATTGGTCCCTCTGCTCCTTCTCCTTCGCTGGCTGGGTATTGAGCTTATCAGCTGGTTTGTTTTGTTTTGTTTTACCCGTATTTGCCATTCACCTTTGCAGCACAGGGAATGACTCATGTCTGGATTCAGAAGGGAGCTGATGGGTTCAGCAGGGAGAATGAAGATGAGAGTCCTCAGCAGGAAAGTCCCGAGCGAATGGACCTGCATGGGATGTTATCAGGAAGCACCAAAGGGGAAGTTTCCCAGAATCATGAAAAGGAAAAAGCCAGTGCGAGTCAGTCTTATAAATGCCCCGACTGTGGGAAAAGCTTCCACTGGAGCTCACGCCTTGCCATTCATCAGCGAATCCACACAGGAGAGAAGCCACATAAGTGTGCCGACTGTGGGAAAGGCTTCAATTGGAGGGCACAGCTTATCACACACTGGAGATGTCACACGGGAGAGAAACCCTTTACATGTGAGGACTGTGGGAAAAGCTTCATGCGGAGCTCCATCCTTACTGAACACAAGAGAATACACACGGGAGAGACACCTTACAAATGCGACTATTGCGGGGAAAGATTTGCCTGGAGCTCAGCCCTCTCTGTACACAGGAGAATCCACGTGGAAGGGGAACACTATCGATGTAAAGATTGTGGGAAAAGCTTCTGCATGAGCTCGGATCTTAATAAACATAGAAGAGTGCACACGGGAGAGAGACCCTATAAATGCCCTGACTGTGGGAAGAGCTTCAGAGTGAGCTCAAACCTCACGGCACATCGGAGGATCCACACCGGAGAGAGACCCTATAAATGCCCCGAATGTGAGCAAAGCTTCCGGCAGAGCTCCACCCTTCTTAAACATCAGAGACTACACTTGCAAGAGAGGCCATATAAATGCCCTGAGTGTGGGCAAAGCTTCTGTGTCAGCTCAGCCCTGACTGTTCATCAGAGGATCCACACGGGAGAGAGACCTTACAGATGCAAAGGCTGTGGGAAAAGCTTCAGTAACAGCTCATCCCTTGTCACCCACCAGAGGATCCACACGGGAGAGAAACCCTATAAATGCCCCGACTGCGGGAAGAGTTTCAGCCAGCGCTCGGCCCTGTCTGCGCACAGGAGCATCCACAGAGGAGAGAGACCCTATAAATGTGACTGTGGGGAAAGTTTCATTGTGAGTGCTGACCTTCTCAAGCATCAGAGAATCCACACGGGAGAGAAACTCTACAATTGCAAAGACTGTGGGAAAAGCTTCTCTCGGAGCACCAACCTTGCTGCCCACGGGCGGATCCACCGGGGAGAGAAACCTTATAAATGCCCCGACTGTGGGAAAAGCTTCACTAGCAGCTCAACCCTTATTACGCATCGGAGAGTGCACACGGGGGAGAGGCCCTATAACTGCTCTGACTGCGGGAGAAGGTTCAGTCAGAGCTCAGCCCTTACTAAGCATCGGAGAATCCACACGGGGGAGAGGCCCTATAACTGCTCTGACTGTGGGAAAAGCTTCACCAACAGCTCCCATCTTATTAGACATCAGAGAACCCACACGGGAGACAGTCCCTATAAATGCCCCGAATGTGGGAAAAGATTCAGGCAGAGCTCGGCCCTTCTGAAACATTGGAGACTCCACAGGGGAAACACTGTAAATGTCGACTTTACAGAGAATGCTCAGACCACCAGTGAAGCCAGGTGGGATGGGAATCCATGATGCACCTTGATTGGAACTCTGCAGCATTAAAAAAAATTGCAGGAAAACTCACTTGAGCATTGTGGGGGAGAGGTCTGTCTGTGTGGGGGAAGCACCGGAGTGGGGATGGTGCTGGGTGCTTTGGGAATGGGGCTGCAGGAAGCAGAGGGAGGCTTTGAGGCGGGTGAATCAGTTGTTTGGTGTTTGTGGGGAGAGAGCTGGGGTGTGGGGTGGTTCGTACAGTCTGTAATTCCCTGAGTTAGCCAAGCTCCTTGCGGCAACGTCTGGCAGGAGTGGAGGTGTTGGGCAATATGGGTGTCAAAGTTTGACTCAGACTCACAATTTATCAGACCACTCTGTTTTATTAGCAAAGCTGCTCTGCTAATACATTTAGAAGTGAGCTCCCCGAGTGGGGCTTGTGTCTTTTAATTTATACAGTTTTTTGGAGAACAAGTTACAGAGAAGTTACAGACAAAAGAAGAAAAAGATTTTAGTCACCACCCTTCGAGATCCCTGAGACCAGTCACGTATCTCCAATTACCTGCCACCCTTAACAATCTCCTTTAACAGCTTCCAGTTAACTTAACTAATTGCCCTTCACACCTTCCATTCTGATGCCTGCTTCTTAGATGTGCTGGCTCTATCTTAATTGCTTCTCCATTCAAAAGCTAACTGTCCCTACGTGTGCTCCCTCAGATACTTTGTAACATGTTTTGGCATGCCCTCTCATATACAATGTATCCAGCATGTCCCCTTATACAACGTTATACTTATACAATGTTATACTTCCACAATCCCCCCTTTTGGTCAAGGCTACGCCCATGACCAATGACTTACTGGATTCCATACATCAATCGTTCTTTTTCATTACTTCCACTGGTGACATTTAACAACATTAGATTAGCACTCTGGTTAGGGGTAACCTGATGGATGGTGTGTCCTGTGCAGTTTTGGATACAACAAGAAATCAATTGAAAACACACAAAGATTATTAGAATTCCAAATAGGATAGTCAGGATTCCTTGAAACAACCAGTTTCCCAGACTAGAGAAATTGAATAAGTTACTTATCCATTTCCACAAGGAACTTGGTTCTTCATGGAGAAGGTATGCAATTTGCTCCAGATGGCTAGCACGATTTATTACCTCATTAGTATTATCAGGTATGTATACACAGCATTCTGTTCCAATTAGAGCACAGGTCCCTCCTTTGGCTGCCAGTATTGTATCTAATGCCCAACGGTTTTGGAGGGCCACTTGTCGGACAGCTCCTGCTTCTTTGGCTAGAGCTTTTAAGCTCTCTCCTGTTTCATTGGCCATGATCTCAACCACCGCTTGTAACCTTAAAAGCCTTTTTGCATGGTGGATTACCCCCCCTACTGGGACTAAAGAAATGTCAACAGCATTCTTCCCAAGTTAGGGGGCTTATGTTATCCACATACCATTTAGCATCTGGCAAGTCCCTCCTTTTTCGCCTGAAATTACGGAGGCGATTTCGTGGGAGGGATTGAAGCACCCAGAATTGTGGGAAAAGCTGAGCAGGATAACAGATACCTGACCAATTTGCTGGTAACACAGTGTAAGCATTTTCCCCACAAACCCAATGATGTCCCATTAAAGCTGGGAAGGGTTGACTGCAACCCTTTGACATGTAAGAATTTACGAAGGAGGAATAGTATCCCCCAAAGGGCACAGGATGATTTTCACTGGGAGAAGAGGTAGCATTCACATGACATTTGTAGATGGTGCTGTTTTTCTCAGGGAGGCTGTAGGGGGAGCAAGAGATTGAATCTTTGGTTTGATCCCAGGTTGAGAGGAAGTTTATCTTTCCATACCCGGTTCGCCATTCTCCAACCTTGTTTGAATAGTCCCATACACCATGGGACACGATGTATTGGAGACAGCTGCTCCTCCCTAGATTCAGCCCTGTCCCATTGCACACCCAGGACCAGTGGCCCTTTCCTTTCACCACACTTATAAGTTTAGGAACATATGTTTTTCCCAGCCCCCAAGTGTCATTTTCCTTCCATGTCCTTTTAAGTGGATAGGGTTTTCCAGCAAGCTCTGAGGAATTCAAAGGGATTGCCATGGTGGGGATACTAGCTTGTGAGTGAGCTGGGATGTGGCTGCAGACCCAGCAATTAGAAATATTCAGGATCTGGGCTATCTGCACCTGTTGTTGGATGAAAGAATTGTCACTGTCACTCTGGATTCCCCAGACCCTCAGGACACAGTAGCTGAGGATTAAGCTTCTCAAAGGACACATGTTGGAAGCCGGACCCTTTCTGGTTCCGACAACCCCTTTCGAGGGAACCGCAGTCACGGTTTTACGTCCACCAGGCAGCAGGCACTAGGCTCACTACTGCTTCTTGTTTGTTGGGTCCTGCTGTCTGCCTACCCTCTGCTTCTGGCAACCGTTACGAGAGCGCAGATTGTAAGGTATTGCAGGCTGTTCCTCTTTGTCTTCTGGGGTTGAAGCTGGTTCGGCGTGGTCTTGCAGAGGTGCTTGGTCCCCTTGAGGTGGCGCTGGCTTACACTGTGAGGCGTGGATCCATGCAGCGATGCCGGATAATTTCACTGCTGTTTGGGTGGTGAGCAGTACCTGGTATGGACCCTTCCACCGGGGTTCCAAGGCGTGCTTCCGAAGGTGGTGCCGCAGGTAGACCCAATCACCAAGCTCAAGAGTGTGACAGGCAGCAGAGGTGGGTTCCGTAGGCCAAGCTGCTCGCACCTGTGAATGGAAGGAGCTCACAGCTTGCATTAACCCTTTGCAGTACTGGAGGAGCGTGCTGTGAGTTAGGTTTAGGTCTGGGGCTGGGGTAATAGTAGCCATTGTTCGCATAGGGCATCCCATGATGATTTCAAATGGACTCAATTTGTGTCTCTGGGATGGGGATGACCGAATTTCCATAAGGGCCAGTGGTAAAGCAGCTGGCCAGTTTAACCCTGTGGAACTACAGATTTTTGCCAGCTTATTTTTAAGCACACCATTTCACCTTTCAACTGCCCCTGCACTCTGTGGATGGTAAGGGCAGTGCAACAGGTGGGTGACATGTAATACCTGGTTTAGATGTTGAACAATTTTTCCAGTAAAATGTGTTCCCCGGTCACTAGACAAAGTGGCAGGAATTCCCTTGGTAGGGATAATGTGGTTTAACAGACATTTTGCAACGGACAATGAATCAGCTTTGCGACAGGGAAAGGCTTCAATCCAACCCGAAAACAGACATATTATAACTAAAATGAATTCATATTTCTGACACTTCGGCATTTGTACAAAATCAGGTTGCCAATGTAGGAAAGGTGCTTGAGGCAAACCCCGGAACCCTTGTGTTACTTTTACAGATTTGCCTACATTGTGGCTTTGACAAGTAACACAAGCGGCACAGTGGCGGGTTGCAAAGGAGCTGAAATGGGGAGCTCACCACCCCGCCTTACTCATAGCAGAGACCATCCCCTCCTTGCCGACATGTGAAACACCATGTAGCAGGGCAGCTAGAGACAGGTAGAGTGAGAGGGGGGCTACAAAGGTACCGGTGGGCGATCGCCAAAGGGAATCAGAATGCAAAGAGCAATCCAAAGCACTCCAGGAGTCTTTCTCTGTTTCTGGAGCAGAATCCTGGAGCTGAGCGAGATGAGACAGGGATTGGTGGCGTTACAGAGACAGAGAGGGGACCAAGAAACGCTTCTGGTGAAGGTTTTATAGTGGCGGCATGTTTTGCAGCAGCATCAGCAAGTGCATTACCTTTTGCCACCTCGGTGTCTGCCGCTGAGTGGCCAGTACACTTAACACTTGCCAAGGCAGACGGTAGTAAAACTGCATACAGGAGGGCGGCAATGTAGGGGCCATTCTTGATAGGGGTACCAGTAGAGGTAAGAAAACCTCGAGCCTGCCAGAGGGTGCCAAAGTCATGCACAACCCCAAAGGCATACCGAGAATCAGTAAAAATAGTGGCAGAGAGCCCCTCGGCTAGAAAGCAGGCACGGGTTAGAGCAATCAGTTCAGCCACCTGGGCAGAGGTCACAGAGGGTAAGGGCGCAGCTTCTATGGTCTCAGAGAGAGAGAGACCACAGCGTACCCTGCAAGAAGGTGGCCTTGGTCATTTCTATAACAGGACCCATCAGTGAATAATACCTGGTCAGAGTTAAGGAGAGGTACATCTGAAAGGTCGGGGCACGGGATAGTGATAGCGGAGACAGTTGCAAGGCAGTCATGGGGTTCACTATCACTAGGTAAAGGAAGGAGGGTAGCAGGGTTTAACCGGGAGCAGCGCTTAATAGTGATATGTGAGGCTGAAAGCAGCAAAAGTTCATACCTAGTGAGACGAGCAGAGGAGAGGTGAGCAGTGTTGCGTTGCAGAAGGAGAGTTTCCACAGAATGGGGAACCATGAGAGTGAGAGGAGAGCGGAGGACAAGGGACTCGGACATCTCGACCAGGCGCGCTGCAGCAGCTACAGCGCGTAGGCAAGGGGGTAACCCTGGGCTACAGGGTCCAAGGTTGCAGAAAAATAAGCCACCGGGCGATTGCTGTCACCGTGCTCCTGAGTAAGAACCCCGAGGGCACAAGCAGATTGTTCGTGACAGAAAAGGGTAAAAGGCTTGTCATAGTTAGGTACCCCTAAGGCAGGGGCAGAGGCTAAATTCTGCTTAAGGGAGATGAAGGCAGCATTTGCTTCAAGTGGCCATGGCATGGGGTTAGGTACAGAGGATCGAGTGAGTTCTTGGAGTGGTTTACCCAGAGAAGCATATTGGGGAATCCATTGCCTACAGAACCCTGTCATGCCTAAGAATTTTCTGACCTGGCGTGGAGAGCAAGGCTGGGGAAAGCTAAGGATGGCTTGTACCCGGCCTGGAGAGAGTGTACGGGAGCCCTGGGAGAGAAGGAAGCCTAGGTATGTGACAGAGGTTTGGCAGAGCTGCAATTTTGTGCGAGAAGCCTTATGACCCTTGTTTGCTAAAGCTGTGAGAAGTGTTAGTGAATCAGTTTCTGAGGCAGACAGAGAGGGGGAGCACAGGAGTAAGTCGTCCACATATTGGATCAGTGTGGATCCTGATGGGAAAACCAGATCAGCGAGATCCCTGGCTAGGGCTTGAGAAAAATAGGATGGCCTCTCTGTATACCCCTGGGGAAGGGTAGTCCATGTATATTGCTGACCCTTGTAGGAGAAGGCAAAGAGATACTGGGATTCAGAGTGAACTGGGACAGAGAAGAAAGCGGAGCACAAATCTACAACAGTAAAGTGGGTTGCATTTGGAGGAATAGACGCTAGTATTGTAGCAGGGTTAGGAACCACTGGAAAAGAAGGTATGACAATACGGTTAATAGCTCGAAGGTCTTGAACAAATCACCACAATTTGCCATCAGCCTTTTGAACTGGGAGGATAGAGGTGTTACAGGGGCTGGAACAAGGGACAATAATTCCTTGTTCTTTTTAATCAGATATAACTGGAGCAATCCCAGCCTCTGCCTCAGGATTCAAAGGATACTGAGACAGGCGAGGCAGGGGTTTGGAATTGTCTACAGTAGTCCGAACTGGGTCAGTATTTAATTGGCCCACTTCAGATGGGTGAGATGGTCATAGGGAGGAAGGAACCTGAGAGATTAGGTGCTCTAGGGACGGAGTTAAGGGACAGCAAGGGACCGGAGTGGAGAGGGAAGTTTCAGACAGCAGGGAGGCTACAGAATCACATAAGGAAGACTGAGGGATTTGCAGATAGACACCATCTGGGGAGCAGTAAATAGAACAGCCAAGTTTGCATAGCAAGTCCTGTCCCAGAAGGTTTGCAGGGGTGGAATCAGAGAGGAGGAATGCATGCTCCTCAGAGAGGGGACCGACCTGAACAGACAAAGGTTTTGAGAGGGGAAAAGAGGTAGGGATCCCTGTAATGCCAACAGCAGACACAGATTTTCCAGATCGGGGAACCTCAGGCAAGTCAGTGGTGCAGATTGTAGAAAGAGAAGCTCCAATATCAACAAGAAAAGGGAGAGAGATCATTTACAGTCAGGACTCATTCTCCAGTAGGGGACAGAGGTAATAAGGGAGCTAAAACTTTGTGAGGTTCCCCAGCATCCCGTCATTGTTGGGGTGAAAAATAGGGTTGGGGATCAGCTGGAGGAACCAGCGGGGGGTTCACTTGATTTCCCATACAATTATTAGGTCGTCTTGGACACTCTTTTTTCCAGTGTCCAGGCTGTTTACAGTAGTTACAAACCCCAGTTAATCCAGCCCCCAGCCCCCTTCCGCAACCCCGTCCCTGTCCCCGGTGTGGTCTGCTTAGTCCTGAATAATGCTGTATCTACAGAGCCATTAACTTTTGGGAGGACTGTTCCTCCTTTCCTTTTAAAGTGCGGTGGCAATGCTCTGCTACTGCCAGCAATTTGTCCATGGTTTCAGTCTCCCATCCCACACTTATTCGTTTTAACATGCTGCCTGTGGCAGGGAGAAGACCATCAACAAATGCATGTGCCAAGGCCCCCTGCCCATTTACATCGGGCTCTTGTATTCCTGAATGTTGTAGGAAAATATCAGTTAGCCGGGACCTATAGTCGCCTGCACTTTCTCCTTGCCCTTGCTTACAGCAACGTATTGCTGTCCAGTTTGTTTTAGGAGACCACACTTTGGGAATGGTTTGATGCAGGCGCTTCCAAAGAGCCATACACCGGTCTCTGTATGCCGAATCTGGGCCAGTACTTTTTATGGTTGAGTGGCGTGCCTCAGCTGGCCAGTCTGCGGCAGCCAACCATTTTTCATAATAACTGGCAGGAGCTAACAATTTACACAGTTGGAGGAGATCTGTCTCAGAGGGTTCATAGGTTTCACAGATTAACAGAAACTCCTCAGCAAATTTGACAGAGTTTTCCTGTGGTTTGGGAAAACTTTTAACTATAGATAAAAGTTCCGTACGAGTCCAGGTCTTATAATCCCATATGGACTCACTTTCTCCCATCTTAAGGACTCATAAGGGTGCCACAACAGTTTGATCAGAGTCTCTCATTAACCTCCCATCAGATTCTCTTTTCCAAGAAGAGATGTCAAGAGAATCTTTGCAGACTGCTTTGGATTTCTTCATAATATTTTGCAGAGCTGCGAGGCCAATGAGGGTATCTTCTTCACTTTCATTATCTGTAGTCACTGAAGATTTTTCCTTTTCTGATTTCTTATTTGCGCAGGAGTATGGTGGGGATCGGGTTTGATCCAGATCATTGCACAGGACTGGGCAAAGGGGAGCGCTCGGACTAGTGGTGGGAGAGACTGCATCCAATTGAACTGTTAGTTTTTTGATAGAATTTTTAAGAGAGGTGAGTTTTGACTCAGTCCATCTACGATTTGCCTCTTCCCACCACTGCATGAAGCAGTCTACTTCTCCTCTCTCCAATTTGGTTTTTGGGAGGACGAGTTTGCTTTTTAAAGCGTCCACTCTATCCTTGTCCCAAGAACCTAACAGTGGCCACTGTAATTTGGGGTTCTCTAGAGCTAATTTGGACCATTTTTCAAGAAACCTACAAGAGTCCGGACCCCTCCTAAAATACATAAAATAAGCTGGAGTTCCCTTAGGGAACGGTTCTACCTTAGACTTCTGATTACCCATCCAGGAGGACTTCACACAGCACTCACACAAGAAGGAAATTCGGGCTCAGCAGAGCGGTGCCCGGTGCAACACACAAAAAGGAGCCCACAGGCTACTGCTTCAACTGCCCTTGCTTTCACACCAGGGGTTATACCCAAGGTGTGGTGCGGCTGCAGCTGTGCAGATTCCACTTATTCAGACCGTGGGGACGGGGACCCCTTGGTCAGCCAGTCTCCGGACAGAGATGGCTCCCAGATTCACACACAAACCACTGGGAAGACGGATAGACACAAAGACAAGACAGTCCTCAAACTGGTTAAAGCACAAAAATAATAATTACCTGAGACGTCTGATTCCAGAAGCTGGATCCAAAGACCCCTACCCGAACAGAGTGGGAACCAACAAGTTCAATGGCGTAGACTGCACTGCTGCTGTGTACCTTTCTGTCTTGTGGAGGATCGCTTGGACTAAGCGTCCAGGCGCTGGCTGCCACGATCGTCCTGCAAGGCAGTCAGGGATCACACAGCCGCTTGCCATCTCGGAGGAACCTCCAAATTGTCAAAGTTTGACTCAGACTCACAATTTATCAGACCACTCTGTTTTATTAGCAAAGCTGCTCTGCTAATACATTTAGAAGTGAGCCCCCCGAGTGGGGCTTGTGTCTTTTAATTTATACAGTTTTTTGGAGAACAAGTTACAGAGAAGTTACAGACAAAAGAAGAAAAAGATTTTAGTCACCACCCTTCGAGATCCCTGAGACCAGTCACGTATCTTCAATTACCTGCCACCCGTAACAATCTCCTTTAACAGCTTCCAGTTAACTTAACTAATTGCCCTTCACACCTTCCATTCTGATGCCTGCTTCGTAGACGTGCTGGCTCTATCTTAATTGCTTCTCCATTCAAAAGCTAATTGTCCCTACGTGTGCTCCCTCAGATACTTTGTAACATGTTTTGGCATGCCCTCTCATATACAATGTATCCAGCATGTCCCCTTATACAACGTTATACTTATACAATGTTATACTTCCACACCCCCTTTCCCAGGCTGGGGGAGGCCCTGTGTCCCCCTTCCCCCCCTTTCCCGGGCTGGGGGGGCCCTCTGTCCCCTCACTCTCTGTCCCCCTTTCCTGGGCTGGGGGGGGCCCTCTGTCCCCCTTCCTCCCCTTTCCCGGCCTGGGGGGGCTCTCTGTCCCCCTTACCCCTCTTCCCCGGGCTGGGGGGGCCCTCTGTCCCTGTTTCCCCCCTTTCCCGGCCTGGGGGGGCCCTCAGTCCCCCCTCTCCCTTCCCCCCCTTTCCCGGGCTCGGGGGGGGCTCTGTCCCCCCTTCCCCCCTTTTCCGGCTGGAGGGGGCCCTCTGTCCCCCTTCCCCCCTTTCCCGGGCTGTGGGGGCCCCCCTCCCCCTTCCCCCTCTTCCCTGGGCTGGGGGGACCCTCTTTCCCCCTACCTCCCCCTTCCTGGGCTGGGAGGGGGGCCCTCTGTCCCAGTTCCCACCTTTCCCGGTCTGGGAGGGGGCCCTCTGTCCCCCTTCCCTGCCTTTCCCGGCCATGGGGGGCCTCTCTGTCCCACTTCTCCCCCTTGCCCGGGCTGGGGGGGTGGCCCTCTGTCCCCGTTCCTCCCCTTTCCTGGGCTGGGGGGGGCCTCTGTCCCCATTCCCCCCCTTTCCCTGGCTGGGAGGGGGGCCCTCTGTCCCAGTTCCCACCTTTCCTGGGCTGAGAGGGGGGTCCTCTGTACCCCCTCTCCCATCCCCCCTTTCCCGGGCTCGGGGGGGCCCTCTGTCCCCCCTCTCCCGTTTCCCGGGCTGGTGGGGGGCCCTCTGTCCCCCTTCCCCCCCATTCCCAGGCTGTGGGGGGGCCCTCTGTCCCCCTTCCCCCCCTTTCCCGGGCTGGGGGGGCCCTCTGTCCCAATTCCCCCCTTTCCCAGGCTGGGGGGGACCCTCTGTCCCCGTTCCCCCCTTTCCTGGGCTGTGGGGGGCCCTCTGTCCCGCCTCTCCCATTCCTTGTTTCCCAGGCTGGGCGGGCCCTCTATCCCCCCTCTCCCTTCTCCCCCTTGCCCGGGCTGGGGGGGACCCTTTCTCCCGCTTTCCCGGGATGGTGGTTGGCCCTCTGTCCCCCCTCTCCCTGGACCCCTTTTTCCAGGCTGGGGGGGGCCCTCTGTCCCCCTTCCCCCCCTTTACCGGGCTGGGCGGGCATTCTGTCCTCCTTCCCCGCCTTTTCCGGGCTTGGGGGGGCCCTCTGTCCCCTTCCCACCCTTTCCTGGGCTGGGGGAGTCCTCTGTACCCCTTCCCCCCTTTACCCGGGTGGGGGGGTGCCCTCTGTCCCCCTTCCCCACCTTTCCCAGGCTTTGGGGGGCCCTCTGTCCCCTTTCTCCCCCTTTCCCGGTCTGGGGGGAGCCCTCTGTCCCCCCTCTCCTTTCCCCCCCTTTCCCTGTCTGGGGGGGCCCTCTGTCCCCCCTCTCCCTTCCCTCCCTTTCCCGGGCTGGGGGGGGCCCTCTGTCTGCCCTTTCCTTCCCCCCGTTTCCCCGGGCTGGGGAGGGGCCCTGTGTCCCCCTTTCCCCTCTTTCCCTGGCTGGGGGGGCCCTGTGTCCCCCCTTCAGCCCCTTTCCCTGTCTGGGGGGGCCCTCTGTCCCCCCTCTCCCTTCCCTCCCTTTCCCGCGCTGGGGGGGCCCTCTGTCTCCCCTCTCCCTTCCCCCCCTTTCCCGGGCTGGGCGGGGCCCTCTGTCCCCCTTTCCCAGGCTGGGGGGGCCCTCTGTCCCCCCTCCCCCTTTCCCGGGCTGGGGGGAGTCCTCTGTCCCCCTTCCCCCCCCTTTCCCAAGCTGGGGGCGGCCCTCTGTCCCTCTTCCCCCCCCTTTCCCGGGCAGGGGGGCGGCCCTCTGTCCCCCTTCCCAACCCTTTCCCAGGTTGGGGGGTGCCCTCTGTCCCCCTTCCCGCCCTTTCCCGGGCTGGGGGGCCCCCTCTGTCTCCCTTCCTACCCTTTCCCGTGCTGGGGGGGTTCCCTCTGTCTCCCTTCCCGCCCTTTCCCGGCCTGCGGGGGGGTCCTCTGTCCCCCTACCCCTCCTTTTCCGGGCTGGAGGGGGCCCTCTGACCCCCCTTTCCCTTCCCCCCCCTTTCCCGGGCTTGGGGGGCCCTGTGTCCCTGTTCCCCCCCTTTCCTGGGCTTGGGGGCCCTCTGTCCCCCTTCCCCCCCCTTTCCCGGGCTGGAGGGGCCCTCTGCCCCCCCTTTCCCTTCTCCCCCTTTCCCGGGCTGGGGGGGCCCTCTGCCCCCCTTTCCCTTCTCCCCCTTTCCCGGGCTGGGGGTGGCCCTCTGTCCCCCATCTCCCTTCCCTCCCTTTCCCGGGCTGGGGGGGGCCCTGTGTCCCCCTTCCCCCTCTTTCCCGGGCTGGGGGGCCCTCTCTCCCTGTTCCCCCCTTTCCTGGGCTGGGGGGGCCCTCTGTCCCCCCTCTCCCTTCCTCGGACAGGGGGGGCCCTCTGTCCCCCCCTCTCCCTTCCTCCCTTTCCCGGACTGGGGGGGCCCTCTGTCCCCCCTCCCCCTTCCCCCCGCTTTCCCGGACTGGGGGGCCCTCTGTCCCCCCTCTCCCTTCCCCCGCTTTCCCGGACTGGGGGGGGCCCTCTGTCCCTCCTCTCCCTTCCCCCGCTTTCCCAGGCTGGGGGGGCCCTCTGTCCCCCCTCTCCCTTCCCCCCTTTCCCGGACTGGGGGGGGCCCTCTGTCCCACCTCTCCCTTCCCCCACTCTCCCGGGCTGGGGGGGCCCTCTGTCCCCCTTACCCCCCTTACCCGGGCAGGGCGGGGCACTCTGTCCCCCTTTCCCGGCCTGGTGGGGGGCCCTCTGTCCCCCTTACCCCTTTCGCGGGCTGGGGGGAGTCCTCTGTCCCCCCTCCCACTTCCCCCTTTCCCGGATTGGGGGTGGCCCTGTGTCCCCCATCCCCCCTTTCCTGGGCTGGGGGGGCCCTCTGTCCCACCTTTCCCTCTCCCCCTCTCCCGGGCTCGGTGGGGGGCCCTCTGTCCCCCTTCCCCCCCTTTCCCAGTCTGGGGGGGCCCTCTGTCCCCCTTTCCCGGGCTGGGTGGGGCCCTGTGTCCCCCTTCCCCCTCTTTTCCGGGCTGGGGGGGGCCCTGTGTCCCCCTTCCCCCCCTTTCCCGGGCTAGGGGGGCCCTTTGTCCCCCTTCCCCGCCTTTCCTGGGCTTGGGGGTGCCCCTCTGTCCCCCTTCTCTCCCTTGCCTGGCTTGGGGGGGGCCCTCTGTCCCCCTTTCCCGCCTTTCATGGGCTGGGGGGGCCCTCTGTCCCCCCTCTCCCTTCCCCCGCTTTCCCGGGCTGTGGGGCCCCTCTGTCCCCCTTCCCACCCTTTCCCGGACTGGGGGGAGCCGTCTGTGCCCCTTCCCCGGGTTGGGAGGGCCCTCTGTCCCCCCTCCCCCTTCCTCCGCTTTCCCGGGCTGGGGGGGCCCTGTCCCCCTTCCCCGCCTTTCCCGAGTTTGGGGGGGGCCCTCTGTCCCCCTTTTCCCATTTCCCGGGCTGGGGGAGGGGCCTCTGTCCCAATTCCCCCCCTTTCCTGGGCTGGGGGGAGCCTCTGTCCCCCCTCTCCCTTTGCCCCTTCCCCGGGCTGGGGGGGCCCTCTGTCCCCCCTCTCCCTTCCCCCCCTTTCCCATGCTGGTGCCCTCTGTCCCCCTTCCCCGCCTTTCATGAGCTTGTGGAGCCCCTCTGTCCCACTTCCCCCCCTTTCCTGGGCTGGGGGGGCCCTGTGTCCCCCCTTTCCCTTTGCCCTCTTTCCTGAGCATGGGGGGGCCCTCTGTCCCCCCTTTCCCTTCCCCCTCTTTCTGGGCTGGGGGGGCCCTCTCTCTCACTTCCTGCCGTTTCCCGGGCTGGGTGGGGCCCTGTATCCCAATTACCCCCCTTTCCCGTGCGTGGGGGGGCCCTGTGTCCCCCGTTTCCCTTCACCCTCTTTCCCGGGCTGGGGGGGGGCCCTCTGTCCTCCCTCTCCCTTCCCCCCCTTTCCCGGGCTGGGAGGGCCCTCTGTCCCCCCTATCCCTTCGCCGCCTTTCCTGGGCTGGGGGGGTCCTCTGTCCCCTTCCCCCCATTTTCCGGGCTTGGGGAGCCCTCTGTACCCCCTCTCCCTTCCCCCCTTTCTCAGGCTGGGGGGGCCCTCTGTCCCCTTCCCCCCTTTTTCCGGGCTGGGGGGGCCCTCTGTCCCCTTCCCCAGGCTGGGTGGTGGAGCCTGTGTCCCCCTTTCCCCTTCTCCCCTTTCTCGGGCTGGGGGGGCCCTGTGTCTCCCTTCTGCTCCTTTCCCGGGCTGGGAGGGGGCCCTGTGTCCCCCACTTCTCCCCCTTTCCTGGGCTGGGGGGGCCCTGTGTTCCTCTTCCCCCCCTTTCCTGGGCTGGGGGGGCTCTGTCCCCTTTCCCCCCTTTCTTGGGCTGGGGACAGCCCTCTATCCCCGTTCCCCCCCTTTTCCTGGCTGGGGGGGCCCTCTGTCCCCCCTCTCCCTTCCCCACCTTTCCCGGGCTGTGGGGGGCCCTCTGTCCCCCCTTTCCCTTCCCCCCCTCTCCCGGGCTGGGTGGGGGGCCCTGTGTCTCTCTTCCCTCCTTTCCCGGGCTGGGGGGATCCTTCTGTCCCCCTTCCCCCCATTCCCGGGCTTGTGGGAGCCCTGTGTCCCCTTTTCCGGGGCTGGGGGGGGCCCTGTCTCCCCCTTCACCCCCTTCCCCAGGCTGGGTGGGGTTCCTGTGTCCCGCTTCCCCCTTTCCCCCTTTTCCTGTGCTCGGGGGGGCCCTGTGTCTCCCTTCCGCCCCTTTCCCGGGCTGGGGGGGCCCTGTCTACCCCCTCTCCCTTCCCCCTTTTTCTGGGCTGGGGGGAGGCCCTGTGTCCCACTTCCCTCCCTTTCCAGGGCTCGGGGGGGCCCTCTGTCCCCCCTTTCCCTTCCCCCCCATTCCCGGGATGGGGGAGCCCCTTTGTCCCCCATCTCCCTTCCCCCCCTTTCCCGGGCTGGGGGGGCCCTTTGTCCCCCTTCCCCCCTTTCCCGGGCTGGGGGGGCCCTTTGTTCCCCTTCCCCCTTTCCCCCCCCCCCCCCCCCTCCCCCTCGCCAGGCCCTCTGCCCCTTCCCCCCTTCCTGGGCTGGGGGGGGAGCCTGCCCTTCCTTTGTTCCCCTTCTACCTCTTTCCCGGGCTGGGGGGGCCCTCTGTCCCCATTCACCCCCTTTCCTCCCTTTGTTCCCCTTCTACCCTTTCCCGGGCTGGGGGGCCCTCTGTCCCCTCCTGCCCTCTCCCCTCTCCCCCCCCCTTTCTCAGGCTGGGGGGCCCTCTGTCCCCTTCCCCCCCTTTTCCGTCCTGAGGGTGCCCTCTGTACCCCCTCTCCCTTCCCCCCCTTTCTCAGGCTGGGGCAGGCCCTCTGTCCCCTTCCCCCCCTTTCCTGGGCTGGGTGGGGGAGCCTGTATCCCCCTGTCACAGAGTGTCGGGGAGTCCAGGCCCTGCACCCCTCCCTCTTCCTGGGATTCACTGAGACTCTCAGCCAGCCAGTAAAACAGGTTTATTGGACAACAGGAACCCAGTCCAAAACAGAGCTTGTGGGTACACCCAGGACCCCTCAGTCAAGTCCTTCTGGGGGAGCAGGGAGCTTAGACCCCAGCCCTGGGGTTCCCTGTGTTCCTCCACCCAGCCCCAAACTGAAACTAAACCCACCCAGCAGGTTCCCTGCTGCAGCCTCCGTCCACATTCCTGGGCAGAGGTGTCACCTCCCCCTCCCCCTCCTGGCTCAGGTGACAGGCTCTCAGGTCTCCCATCCCCAGGGCACATTCCCAGGTCAACACTCCCCCCTCCCTGCTGAGTCACATCGTCACATCTCTCCCCCCTTCGAGACTGAACTGAGCGGGGTCACTGTGACCAGTGACCTGGGGAAGTTCAGGGCCCCCTCTCCGGGACAGCGCATCCGCTATCAGGTTGGCACTTCCCTTCACGTGGACCACGTCCATGTCGTAATCCTGCAGGAGCAGGCTCCACCTCAGGAGTTTGGCGTTGGCTCCTTTCATCTGGTGCAGCCAGGTCAGGGGAGAGTGGTCGGTGTACACAGTGAAGTGTTGCCCGAAGAGATAGGGCTCTAGTTTCTTGAGGGCCCACACCATGGCCATGCACTCCTTCTCGATGGCCGCGTAGTGTTGCTCCCGGGGTAGCAACTTCTTGCTCAGGTACACGATGGGGTGTCTCTCCCTCTTTTCATCCTCCTGCATTAACACCGCCCCCAGGCCTGTGTCGGAGGCGTCGGTGAACACCACAAAGGGCTTGTCAAAGTCTGGGTTTGCCAGAACTGGGCCACTGACCAGAGCCTCCTTCAGCGCCCGGAAAGCCTCCTGGCACTGCTCGGTCCAGACCACCTTGTCTGGCTTCCCTTTTTGCATAGCTCAGTGATGGGGGTGGCTATGGTGCTAAAGTGGGGCACAAATCTTTGGTAGTATCCTGCCATCCCAATAAAGGCTTGGACCTGCTTTTTGGTGTGGGGAGTGGGCCAGTCTCTGATCACCTCCACCTTGGCTGGTTCCGGCTTTAGGCGGCCGCTCCCCACCCGATGGCCCAGGTAAGATACTTCAGCCATCCCCACCTTGCACTTCTCTGCTTTTACAGTCAGCCCAGCCCCCTGGAGTCGGTCCAGCACTTGTCTAACCTGGGACACGTGGTCCTCCCAGGTCTGGCTAAAGACACAGATGTCATCAATATATGCCATGGCAAAACTCTCCATCCCCCTCAGTAGCTGGTCCACTAGGCTCTGGAAGGTGGCTGGCGCTCCCTTGAGGCCGAAAGGCAGGGTCAGGAACTCATAGAGCCCCAGAGGGGTGATAAAGGCCGATTTCAGCCGGGCATCTGCATCCAGCGGCACTTGCCAGTAGCCCTTTGTAAGGTCCATGGTGGTAAGGTACCGAGCTCCTCCCAGCTTGTCTAGGAGCTCGTCCGGCCTGGGCATGGGGTAGGCATCAGATACAGTGATGGCATTGAGCTTCCGATAGTCCACAGAGAACCGGACCGACCCATCCTTTTTGGGGACCAGCACCACCGGCGAGGCCCAAGGGCTGGCCGATGGCTGGATCACCCCCAAAGCCAGCATGTCCCGGACCTCTCTTTCCAAGTCCTTAACAGTTTTCCCTGTGACTAGGAAGGGGGAGCATCTTATCGGCGGGTGCGACCCTGTCTGCACCCAGTGGACAGTCAGATTAGTGCGTCCAGGCTGGTTGGAAAACAGCTGTCGGTACGGATGCAGCACCCCCCTGATCTCAGCTTGCTGGGCAGGGGTTAGCTGACCCGAGAGGGGAATTGTTTCCAGGGGGGAACCAGCTCTGGTCCTAGGGAATAGATCTACTAAAGGGTCATCTCCCTGCTCCTCCCACTGTCCACACACGGCCAACACCACATTCCCCCTGGCATACTATGACTTCATCATATTCACATGGTACACCCGGCGGTGGTGCGCCCGGTTCGACAGCTCCACCACATAGTTTACCTCATTGAGCTGCTTGACAACCTTGAAAGGGCCCTCCCAGGCGGCCTGTAGTTTGTTCTTTCTCACGGGGATGAGAACCATCACCTGATCCCCGGTGGCGTAGGCACGGGCCCGCGCCGTGCGGTCATACCAGACCTTCTGCTTCCTCTGGGCTCTGGCCAGATTCTCCCTGGCCAGGCCCATGAGTTCAGCCAGTCTCTCTCGGAAGATCAGGACATACTCCACCACTGACTCTCCATCGGGAGTGGCCTTCCCTTCCCACTCGTCTCTCATCAGGTCCAGGGGGCCCCTCACCCTCCTTCCATATAACAGTTTGAAAGGCGAAAATCCGGTAGACTCCTGGGGCACCTCCCTGTACGCGAACAGCAGGTGAGGTAAGTACTTGTCCCAATCCTGCGGGTGCTGGTTCATAAAGGTTTTCAGCATCATCTTTAGCATCCCGTTAAACCTCTCCACCAGCCCATTGGACTGGGGGTGATAAGCTGAGGCCCAGTCGTGCCGGACCCACATTTCTCCCACAAGCACCGGAGCAGGGCCGACATGAAGTTGGAGCCTTGGTCTGTCAAGACTTCCTTGGGGAACCCCACTCGGCTGAAAATGGTCAGGAGTGCATCGGCCACAGTGTCTGCTTCAGTGGAAGCTAAGGGCACCGCCTTGGGGTAGCGGGTGGCAAAATCTACCACCACCAGAATGTATTTCTTCCCTGACCGGGTCGTCTTGCTGAGAGGCCCCACGATGTCCATGGCCACCTTCTGGAAAGGCTCCTCTATGGTGGGCAAAGGTCTCAAAGCCGCTTTCCCCTTGTCCCGGGCCTTCCCCACCCTCTGACAGGGGTCACAGGATCGGCAATACTGCCGGACAGTGGTAAAGACCCCGGGCCAGTAAAAGTTCTGTAGCAACCTCTGCCGGGTGCGCTGGATTCCCTGGTGCCCTGCGAGGGGGACGTCATGGGCCAGGTACAGGAGCTTGCGGCGATACTTCTGGGGGACCACCAGCTGCCTCCTGATCCCACAGGACTCTACTTCCCTTGTGGGAGCCCATTCTCGGTACAGGAACCCCTTCTCCCACAGGAACCTCTCCTGGCAGCCTCTCCTCATGGTCCGTACCACACCGAGGTCGGCCAGGTCCCTGAGCTTCCGCAAGGAGGGATCTTTCCTCAACTCGGCCTGGAACTCAGCGGCTGGGGAAGGGATGGGGCCCGGTTCCCCCTCAGTGGCCAGGTCTGAGGCCTCTGCTTCTCTGAGCCGTGCCCCTCTGCCCTCCCTCTCCACCAGGGAAGGGTCCTGCGCCTCCGGTGTGGTACCCTCCCTGAGGTCAGGGTGCAGTGCCCCTCGCCGGCTCTGGCTACGGGTCACAACCAGGGCAGTCTGGGGCTTGCTTGGCCAGTCCTCTAGGTCTCCCCCCATCAAAACTTCAGTGGGCAAATGGTGGTGTACCCCCACATCCTTGGGGCCCTCCTTGGCCCCCCATTTCAGGTGTACCCTTGCCACGGGCACCTTAAATGGGGTCCCGCCCACCCCTGTCAGGGTCAGGTAGGTGTTGGGCACCACCCGATCTGGGGCCACCACCTCGGGCCGGGCCAGCATCACCTCCGCGCCCGTATCCCAGTATCCATTGACCTTCCTCCCGTCCACCTCTAGGGGAACAAGGCACTCTCTCCAGAGGGACAGCCTCGCGCCCACCCTGTAAACCGAGCACCCTGAGTCCAGAGCCTCTAGCCCTCTGGCAGAGCTGGCCTGGGGTACTCTTCCCTCCTGCGCAGGTGGTAAACTGGTAGCCCCCCTTTCCTGGGTCGTCTGCCCCTCATCCAGCTGAGTCCCTACCCAGTTAACCCTGGGTAGGTTGGGTCTGCTCAGCTTGTCCCTGAGCCCGGGGCACTGGGACCGTACGTGGCCTCTCTGGCCACAGTGATAGCAGCTCAGGTCACGTTAGTCCCCTTGAGCGGGTCGGAGGGGCCCAACGCCAGGCGTTCCCCTTTGGAGGGGGTTCTCCCTATTTTCCCGCTGGGAGGCCCCATGGTGACTCTCTCTCTGCATTGGGGGGGGGCCTGTCCTTTTGGGACTCCTCCCAGCTACCCCCTGACCGACTGTTCACAAACTCGTCAGCCAGCTGCCGTGTGTGCTGGGGGTTCTCGAGCTTTTTGTCCACCAACCACAGCCTCAGGTCGGAAGGGCACTGTTCATACAGTTGCTCCAGTATGATTAGGTCAAGCAGGTCCTCTTTAGCTTGGGCCCCAGCTGTCCACTTGCGGGCATATCCCTGCATCCGGTTGACCAGTTGTAGGTAGGTGACCTCAGGCGTTTTACGTTGACTCCAGAACCTTCTCTGGTACATCTCGGGGGTCAGCCCAAACTCATGGAGCAGGGCCTGTTTGAACAGTTCGTAGTCCCCTGCCTCCAGCCCAAACTCATGGAGCAGGGCCTGTTTGAACAGTTCGTAGTCCCCTGCCTCCACCCCTGTCATTCGGCTGTACACCTCCACGGCTTTGGGGTCCAGTAAGGGGGTGAGAAACTGGAGTCTGTCTGCAGGGTCAACCCTGTGCATCTCGCAGGCATTCTCAAAGGCTGTCAGGAAGCTATCTATGTCCTCCCCCTCCTTCCGCTGGGCCAGGAAGCACTTATCAAATTTCCTTGCAGTCTTGGGTCTCCCCGCAATCACCACAGCCGGGGCCCCACTGCTCCTCAGCCTGGCCAGCTCCAGTTCATGCTGTCTTTGTTTCTCCTTCTCCTCCTGCTCATGTTGACGTTGTTTCTCTTTCTCCTCCTGCTCATGTTGACGTTGTTTCTCCTCATGTTGACGTTGTTTCTCCTCTTGTTGACGTTGTTTTTCATGATCCTCCAGCTCCCTCATTTTCATCTCCCTCTCCCATTCCAGCCGCCTCCGCTCCAGGGATGGGGAGCTCTGCCAGGAGGATCCCCTGCTGGCTGCTGGGGTCAGGGTGCCCTCGGTATTTGCTGGGCTTCCCCCAACCCCCCCCCCCCCCCAGGCATAGGTAGGAAGGGTCTTGGGATGTCCTCGGCAGCAGTCTGACCCCTCCCAGCCCGGTCAGGCCCCAGGGCCCACGCTTTGTCTGCCGGGCGGCTTCCCTCAGGGACAGGGATCGGGTCATCCAAGCGATCCCTCTCCTCCAACTGGGCAATCAGCTGTTCCTTGGTGGACCTCCCGATGCGCAGCCCCCTCTGCCTGCACAGCTCCACCAGGTCGCTCTTCAGGCGTTTAGCGTACATCTCCCTGCTGGCCATTCGCAGGCCAGGCAGCTTTCCACGGTTTCCAGGAAAAGCCCTTAGTGTGCCAGTCCTTCTTGAGGTCACCACCTCTTTGCCAGGGTCGAGCTGCAGACTCCTCCGCCCCTGGGACAAGCTCGCTGCAATCCCCCGGGGGACCCTGTTACTGCAAAAGTCCTTCTCTCTGGTCACACACTCCCAGGGGTTAACCGCCCCCTGAAACCGTCTCTCTCTGAATCTTCAGCACGCCTGGTCCCCGTCAATTCCCCTTCGCTTTACTGTTCCCCAGTCACTTACTGCAGGAAGCGCCGTTCACAGGGTGCAGTACATCCCACCTCTGCCACCAGTTGTCACGGAGTGTGGGGGAGTCCAGGCCCTGCACCCCTCTTCCTGGGATTCACTGAGACTCTCAGCCAGCCAGTAAAACAGAAGGTTTATTGGACAACAGGAACACAGTCCACAACAGAGCTTGTGGGTACAACCAGGACCCCTCAATCACGTCCTTCTGGGGGAGCAGGGAGCTTAGACCCCAACCCTGGGGTTCCCTGTGTTCCTCCACCCAGCCCCAAACTGAAAACTAAACCCACCCAGCAGGTTCCCTGCTGCAGCCTCCGTCCACATTCCTGGGCAGAGGTGTCACCTCCCCCTCCTCCTCCCCCTCCTGGCTGAGGTGACAGGCTCTCAGGTCTCCCATCCCCAGGGCACATTCCCAGGTCAACACTCCCCCCTCCCTGCTGAGTCTCATCGTCACACCCCCTTCCCTCTTCCCCCCTTTCCCGGGCTGGGGGGGCCCTGTGTCCCCCTTCCCCCCCTTTCCCGGGCTGGGGGGGCCCTGCGTCCCCCTTCCCCCCCTTTCCAGGGCTGGGGGCGGGCCCTGTGTCCCCCTTCCCCCCCTTTCCCGCGATGGGGGGGCCCTCTGTCCCCATTCCCCAGTTTCCCGGGCTTGGGGGGGGCCCTCTGTACGCCTTCACCCCTTTCCTGGGCTGGGGGGGCCCTCTGTCCCCTTCCCCCCTTTCCCGGGCTGGGGGGGCCCTCTGTCCCCCCTCTCCCTTCCCCCCGTTTCCACGGGCTGGGGGGGCCCGCTGTCCCCCCTCTCCCTTCCCCCCCCTTTCCCGGGCTGGGTGGGGGCCCTCTCTCCCCCCTCTCTCTTTCCCCCTTTCCAGGGCTGGGGGGGTGCCCTCTGTCCCCCTTCCCCCACTTTCCCGGGCTGGGGGGTTCCCTCTGTCTCCCTTCCCGCCCTTTCCCGGGTTGCGGGGGGCCCCTCTGTCTCCCTTCCCACCCTTTCCCGAGGTGGGGGGAGGGCCCTGTGTACCCCCTCTCCCTTCACCCCCTTTCCCTGGCTGGGGGTTGACCCTGTGTCCCCCCCCCCCCCCCCCTCTTCCCCAGGCTGGGGGGCCCTTGTCCCCCTCTCCCTTCCCCCCTTCCCGGGCTGGGGGGCCCCTGTGTCCCCCTTCCCCCACCTTTCCCGGTTTGGGGGGGCCCTCTGTCCCCCTTCCCCCATTTCCTGGGCTTGAGGGGGGCCTCTGTCCCCCCTCTCCCTTCCCTCCTTTCCCGGGCTGGGGAGGGGGCCTCTGTCCCCCTTCCCCCTTTTCTCCTCTCCTTGGGCTGGGGCGGGCGTGCGGCCTCTCCATCCCCCCTCCCCCTTCCCTCCCTCCCCTCGGGCTGGGGCGGGCGGGGGTCCCCTCCGTCCCCCTTCTCCCTCCTCCCCTAGTGCTGGGGGGCCCCTCCTTCCCCCCTCGTCCCTTCCCCCCCTCCTCTGGCTGTGGGGGGCGCCCCCTCGTCCCCCCTCCTTGGGCTGGGCCTGTCTGGTGGCTGCCCCCCCAACTCCTGGTCTGCTCGCTGGGGATGGGGCACCTGTGTGGAGCATGGAGCTACCTGGGCCCTTCCCCTCCCATGGCCCCGAGCCAGTTGGGGGGGAGGTCATCAGCGCACTGTTGCTCCCTGTACCCCCAACCTTGTACCCCGTACCCCCAACCGTGGTTTCCCACGGGCATCCTCCCCCTGCCTGCGGTCCCAATGAACAAGGGGGAAGGAAAGGGCCACTCCCACAATTACTCCACCCCTCCCCCCATGGGGGAAGTTTTGGACATGAAGTTTTAATGGTTCTATTGCCCACTGGGTGGGCACTTGGCCTTAGAAAATTACTGAAGTGTGAATCGATAAGTTGATTAAAATTGATCATTTCAATTGAGGCGTTGGACTTGGTGATTTAATTGCCTTGATTTTACTCAATCCATCCTGGTTCTCTCCCCCGCCCACCAACTCCCCACTCCTGTTAGGATTCTCGACTTGCTCTCGATTGCGGGAGGTATGTGTGGGGAGGGAGGGTTTTTTCCTCCTGTCAACCCCAGCTGGGTGCCTGTCACGCGGGGGTGGTGCGCGGCGGGTGGGGTCCGTGGCAGATCAGGTCTCTGAAGCCCTGGGGGGTGGAGGGGCCGATGGCGTTTAAGGGGGTTCAATCATCATGGCACCGCTTCTGGCAGGGGGTTGGGCTGCTGGGCAGGGAACGAGAAACCACAAATCGTGCCCCACCCCCCACTGACCTGTCCTGCTGGGTCCCTCTCGACTTTCAGATCGGCCAGAGAGTCCGGAGCAGGGTGTGCGGGGAGCCAGGGCCAGGACCCCCGCCGCAGCTCGGCTTCGCTGCTGCTGAATCGGACCCAGTCACAGAGAGGAGCCGACCCCAGCCCAGCGTCTCCAGCAGCGTGTGCGGCCTGAGCGTCGCTGAAAGAGACGATGGGGCCAGCAGCTGGACCTGCTGGGAGCGAAGAGCAGCTGCAGGAGTGGCCTGTTGAGGGCCATGGACACCTGGAGACTGGAGGGGAGCCAGGTAATGGGGTGTCGCTGCCTGGGAACAGGCTGAAGAGAGACACTGAGGCTGCCCCACATGGGGCCAGGCTCTCAGTGACAGCAGCCAGTGCCCAGCAACACCCCGTCTGTGGGCAGCAGGGACTGGATCACCCCCAGAGGCTCTCAGGGCACCGATCCCTGTCTCACAGCTGCTGTCTGGCAGACACAGGGGTGGCCATGGGGCTGTGCAGGGCCCTCCTGGGCTGGGTGTGTCAGACCCCCTGTGACAGCCCTGGCCCATCTCTGCCTGGTTCGTTCTCCCCCCTTCTGCTGTGTATGGCCAGTGTGAGACCCCAGTGTGCGGGGACAGGGGCACTCGGCAGTGTGGGCCCAGCCAGCGCTCGGCAGGGGGCAGAATGGGGGTGGGGATGGTGGGGGGGGCAACTGCCACCAGGACATGTGGGTCCTTATCTCTGTGCCCCTGAGCTCACCAGGCCTCCTGGCAGCCTGGCTGGGAGTGCCCAGGGGAGGGCACTGGGCTGAGAGGAAGGAGGGGCTGTTCTGCCAGCCCCAGCCGGCCTGACCCTCCGGGCTCCTCTCCCAGAGCGTCGGACGGAAGGAGCAATCGACAGAACGGTGCATATTCGAGTCCAGTGGTTCTCAACCTTTCCAGACGACTGTTGCCCTGTCAGGAGGCTGATTTGTCTTGCACTCTCCTAAGTTTCATCTCACTTAAAAACAACTTGCTTCCAAAATCGGACATAAAAATACAAAAGTGTCACAGCCACTATTCTGGAAAAATTGCTGACTCTCTCATTGTTGCGTATTTAATTATGAAATAGATGAACTGGACTATCAATGCTGTACCTTTCCGTGTATACTCTATCGAGCAGTATAAACGAGTCATTGTCTGTATGAAATTTTAGCTTGTACTGACTTAGTGCTTTTTATTTAGCCTGTTGTAACACGAGGCAAATCTCTCGATGAGTTGATGTGCCCCATGGAAGACCTCTGCTTACCCCCAGGGGTACACGAACCGGTGGGTGAGAACCACTGTTCTAAGGCAGCTCCAGCCCTGGTGCCGTCGGGGAGACGTGTCCTCGCGGCCCTGCCTGACGGGTCTTTCTGTTTCAGATCCTTGTCCTAACTACAAGAAATGTACAATTGTGCTCGCAGTCGCCCTTGCAATCATGTTCTTAGTTCTCATCATTGTCCTGGCAGGTGAGTTCTCACCCTTCCCTTCCCCCTCTCTGCACATCCCATTCCCCCTTGAGCCACCAGTCAGTCTTTCCTCCTGGCCTGTCTGGCTTCTGCCCCTGGGACAGAGGATTCCTGGGGGATGTTCCTCCAAGACCCCCCTCCTGCTCCCTCCCAGACCCCTGCACCTGGGCACTCTCTGTGTCGGGACTGAAATTAGCTCCCCCCAGCCCATCTCTGAGCACTCTGGGTCCAAGTCACTGTTGCCGGGCTCCAGGCACAGACACTGCTACCCGTGCAGAGTGGGGGTGATTGACGGTGCAGGGCAGCAATGAGCTGGGCCCTCTGCCTGCAGCGTGTCGCCCTGAGGTGTCAGCCTGGCCTTCCTGCATCCCTGGGTGGTGCCCAGTGCTGGGCAGGTGCTGGCGCGTCACTGAAAGGAGCCGTGGAACGCAGTACGGACACCTCCCTAACGCAGCGTGAAACCCACCCCTTGGTGACCTCAGCAGGGCAGGGTCTCGTCGCGCTATTGACGTCCCCGCCTGCACAGACAGCGTGTGCGAGCGCAGATGGCAGATGTTTATGGTGACCGTGAACCTGGCTGGCTGCGCTGGACAGGCCGGGCAGCGGGCGTTCGGTCTCCTGAAGGGAAGGGAGTTTGTTCCTGTCTTCATCTCAACCTGCCTCTCCAGGGAAGCAAAACGCAGAGCAGGGGGAGGGGGCAGCAGTCCAGACTAGCAGAACTCCTTGGGGTACTAGACCTGGCAAATCACGTTGAAGTTAATCTCCTACCCATTAATTATTGCCCCCCTGCTGGCCCCCTGGTAACTGTCCCCTCCCTCTGCGGCTCTCTGCCCACCCCGTGTTGTAACACTGAGCTTGGGCCCAGCTCTCTGTCCTGGGCTTCATGGCATGAGCTGCTTGTCAGCTGCATCCCTGTTGAATGTGAACCCAAGAGAGTGAGAGCAGAGTCAGATAACCCCCCTCTGGGGCTGGATTCCCAGAGTCCTCCTGGCTCCCTCACGGCCTTTCAGTACCCACCCTGGTTCGAGGTGTCTCAGAAGCCTGGGGCGCAGGGGCTGATCTCCCCCTGTTCTCCTCGTTGGCGGGTGGCGGGTCTCGCTCACACCACGTGTCGCTGTCTCATTCTCAGTGTGGAGACCTAAGCTTCCGTCACCTGAACCGGGGCCCGTTGCTGGATCGGATACTGAGGGAAATGCTACTATTTCTCTGAGGCCGAAAGGAACTGGACCTGCAGCCTGACCCACTGCTCTGCGCTCAGCGCCTCCCTGGCTGAGATCAACAGTGAGCAGGAAATGGTGAGAGATGCTCGAATTGCAACGTTCTGGTCTTGGCTCAGCAGCTGCTGCTGGAGAACCTGGGCTCGAGGAGCAGCTCTGAGTAAATGAGCTTCCAGCTGCTGAATGCCAGGCCTGGCTGGCTGGCCCGGGGCACCTCTAGTGTCCGTGTCTGACTGCAGGGATCACTCACTGTCAGCCCTCTCAAAATGAGACCGCCCCTCTCGAGGGCAAGGCTGGCTTGAGTGTCTTCTGGGTGGCATGAGGCCAAAGGGGTACTGAGATCCCAGATTGACTTGAAGAGCCAGTGCTCTTGGGTAGCCAGATGAGGATGGGGAGGCTCCTCTTAGCCCTGGCCCCTTCTAGCTGAGGATTTGGTGGCTCTTCTCTCATCCCTGGCCCTTCCCAGCATCCCTTATTGAGATCAGCTGGGCTCTTTCCTTCCCCTTCCCCTGTGATGGGCAGGGGAGCTCAGCTGTTCTGTAAGGCAAGGTTTGGGATAGGAAAGTTAATACTGAATTACCCAGAGCTGGGCAAGACGGAGGCGAAAATCCCCAGCCGTTCCCTGAAAACAGAGCCCTTCAGTGTATCCCTGTGAGTCTCTGGTGCACAGAGCCTGTGCTCTGACCCCACCTCTCCCTCTGCTGTTTTTAGGCTTTCGTGCTGTGCTATAAAGGCAGATTTGACCACTGGATTGGCCTCCGGAGGGACCCTGGGCAGCTCTGGAAATGGGCCAATGGCACCGAATTCAACAACCTGTAAGTCCTCTGTGAATTCCCTGGGCTTTGGGTCCCTGGCGTCTGAGATAGCGAGTTCAGGCTGACTCACCAGTCAGTGCTATGTACTCTGTGTATTAGTGATGGGTGGAAGCAAGTGTTGTCTGCTGGGAGACTGGCCAAAGCTTTCAGATCTGTCTGGCTTTAGTGGGGCCATCTGCGTTAAAGATGCCTGATAGTCACAAATGCTGAGTGCCTGGGGCTGCCATGAGAAGTGGGGTACAGTAGAGATGGCCCAGACGACATCCCAAGAGGGATTTCAGTGGGATGTGGGTGGGATCAAATAACCAAACCCCAGTTGAGCCGATAGCAGGGTTTGACCCTGGACCATCAGCGCTGACAGAACGGCAGAGTAGGTCACGCTGGCGGGGGAGTGGCACTACGTGTCCAGGAAAGCATAGAGTAAAGAACAGTAAAAATCGTAAACGAACCCAACTGTATCCTAGCATCTCTAAAGAATAGGAATTCCACACTTGAAGAATAAGAATCTAGCAGCAGGAATATACTACTGACCAGGATGGGGACTGTGAAATTCACGAGATTAGAGAGGCTACAAAAGCAGAAAACCCAATAATAATGGGGGTTTTCAACTATCCCCATATGATTAGAGATGTGGAACAGCTTCCATATGAGGGGCGACGACTAAGGGGGGGATATAGGAGGTCTATAAAATCATGAGTGGGGTCAAGAAAGTGAAGAGGGAAGTGTTATTTACGCCTTCATGTAACGCAAGACCTAGCGGTCACACAATTAAATGAATAGGCAGCAGGTCTGACACAAACAAAAGGAAGTATTTCTTCACACAACACACAGTCAACCTGTGGAGCTTGTTGCCAGGGGATGTTGTGAAGACCAAGAGTATAACTCTGTTCAAACAAGAAGTAGATAAGTTCACAGAGGATAGCTCGACCAGTTCCTATCAGCCAGGATGGTCAGGGATGCAACCCCATGCTCTGAGTGTCCATATACATCTGACTGCCAGAAGCTGGGTGTGAATGGGATGGATCACTCGATACTGACCCTGTTCTGTTAATTCCCTCGGAAGCACCTACCACTGGCCAGTATCGGAGGACAGGACACTGGGCTAGATGGACCATTGGTCTGACCCATGTGGCCAGTCTTATGTACTTACAGCTGAATGATGTTTTTAAAAAAGCCCTTTGCGATTGATGGGAAGCTGGAAAATGTTCCCAGAGGAGGCTTAGGAAACAAGTCCGTTGATGACCTGTTGTTTGATCCCAGTCAGATATTTTCACATATTCCAGCAAGGATGCCCTGATGTCGGCAGCAGTCTGTCTTTGTGATTGCATCATGAGCCCATCTGTTAGCCGGCCTGTTTGGGGTCTGTCCACACCGCAGCTGGCACCATGCCGTTGCAGAGAAACTAAATTAATTCTTTGCAGCAGTCTTCACGGCTGAGCATGTGAGGGAGATTCCCAAACCTGAGCCATCCTTTTTAGGTGACAAATCTGAGGAACTGTCCCAGATTGAGGTGTCATTAGAGGAGGTTTTGGAACAAATTGAGAAACTGAACAGTAACAAGTCACCAGGACCAGGAACTCAAATGTGAAATTGCAGAACTACTAACTGTAGTCTGTAACCTATCATTTAAATCCGCTTCTGTACCCGATGACTGGAGGATAGCTAATGTGACGCCAATTTACCGGAACTGGGTAAACAGGCATCTCAGTGGGGTGTTAACCCTGAAATCTGCCACCCTGCGGGTGCCCACCCCAGTAGAAGGCTCTGGGTGCATCATTGCCATCTCCTCAGAGCTCATCTGGGGTGATGCTGGTGGGGGAGCCATCCACAGCCATCTGCTCAGGTGGCTGTGAGCTGGGCTCTCCCTTCTCTGGGACAGATCCCACCCCAAGCCAGAGGCTGGTGGCCTGAGGGCAGGGAGATCCCGACCTGCCCAAAGAGTAGTGCTGGACCTCCTCCCAGCCCAGCACATGACTTCTGTGAGTAGCCAGGATGGGACCATGGGGGAGGATTTGCCTGTGGGCCTGGATCCCACCCTGTTCCCAGGTGGGAAGCGCTGGCCTCCAGCTCTCACGGGAAGCTCTGTGTGAGTGGCTGGGGTCACACCATGGCCGCTGGGTTTGTGCTGCTGGCATTTCACTCCAGCCGCCCCCTGCAATACAGCCTGTCCTGACAGGCCTCTGGCCTGAGAGCTGATGTAAACTGTCCAGGGAGCCCTGGACCCAGCTCTTCTGTGCAGCGTTACAGCTGCTCCTCGCCACGCTGAGAGTCACCTGGAACCTGCGCCCGGGGCAGTTTGGGTGGGTTGGGCCTGCAGGGGCCCATCCAGACCCAGCTGGGTGTGTGTGTGGGGGAGAATAGGACCTGGGTTAATACCCACCCAGCATAAATGGTCCATGGAGGTCAGTTGATCTTCGAACCTTTCCTGGCCTTGCTGCCCCACTGCCCCCTGGTAAGCTGGGGCTGAGGATGTTACTGTTCCTTTGGAAATAGTGAATCTGTGAATAATACCGGTGCCCAGGGGACCAGGGACTGGATGCTCCAGACAGATTCTCAAAGGACTTGAGGGCAGAGTGGGCCTATTGCTACCCTGCAGTGACGGCAGGCTCAGCAGCAAGTGCGTGTGGCCAGTGGAGTTGGGGAGCTGACCCCTGGCAGGCACAGACAAGGCTCCCTCAGGCAAAGGGCAGGTGGTGGCGAGGTGCCTCCCAGCCCCGGGTACCCGGGTACATTGCAGGGTATTAACTTACTGCAGGTTTGGGGCAGTTAAAAATTACAAGGCCCCAGCCCAGTGAGGAGGACCGAGGAGAGGAACTGTGACTGCGCGGGGCACCTGAGTCCCCGCACTGCCCAGAGTTCTGCTCTGCCTAAAGCCCCAGTCCTGCCCCGTGAGTAGGGCTTTACCAAATTCATGACCATGAAAAATGCATCACAGACTGTGAAATCTGGTCTCCCCTGTGAAATCTGGCTCGGCGGGGGAGGGGGGGAATATGTCACAGAACTGCCACCCTTACGTCTACCCCGCCTTCAGAGCTGGGCGGCCAGAGAGCAGCAGCTGCTGGTCTGGTGCCCAGCTCTGAAGGCAGCACTGCTGCCAGCAACAGTGCAGAAGTGAGGGTGGCATGGTGGTGGGGGGGAACCTTATGGGGGGGTGATGCGGGCAACTGCCCCGAGCGCGGTGGTCAGGAGGGAACCCCACCAACCGCCAGCTCCAGGCCCTTTTAACCTCTGAGTGCTGGACCCTGGAATGGGGGAGGGGCAGGGCTGGGAGCATCCTGGGCAGGGGCTCCTACCATGTGCCAGGCTCTAGCTGCAAGTTCGGGCTGGGCTGGGGAGGAACAGGACCTCGTCCTCTGCATGGGCTGCTCCCAGGGCCAGATCAGAGCCACTGCCAGGAACCTCCCCCAGCAGCAGACAGCTCCGTGGCCGCCGGCCGGGAGCCCAGCTCTGAAGGTAGCACCACTGCCAGGAGCAGTGCCGAAGTCAGGGTCGCAATACCGTGACACCCCTCCCCCAATAGCCTTGAGACCCCCCATGACCCTCTTCTGGGATGGGATCCACACAGTTACAACACGGTGACATTTCAGATGGAAATAGCTAAAACTGTAAAATTTAAAAGACTTTTAAAAATCTCATGACCATGAAATTTACCAAACTGGATGGGTGAATTTGGTAGGGCCCTACCCATGAAACTGAACAGGGGGGTACTTCACATTACAGATACACAAATGTGGATCCTCAGTTGCACTGTTTATATCACGGCCGCTTCTTTCTGGCAGATCCATTTGAGCTCCATGGCACACGTCTCAGACAGAACCTGGCTGCCTTTTATCCACCTGCAGCTGTTCCCATCTGCAGAGCCTGAGAAGCTGCAGAGTGAGAGAGAGTCCGTGTCACTGTGGGTCCCTGTAACAAGGAAAGGCCCAGGGGTGAGTCTTTCTTCCCCCTCCCTGTACTGGGAAGGTGGGCTCTGGTGTTGTCCTTCATCTCTAACTTTCCTGCGGAGCGTCAGTCGAGAAGACGTCCCAGGCTGTGAGGTGAGTTAGGGCAGTGGCTCTCAACCTTTCCAGACCACTGTACCCCTTTCAGGAGTCTGATTTGTCTTGCATACCCCAAGTTTCACCTGACTTAAAAACGACTTGCTTAGAAAATCAGACCTAAAAATACAAATGTTGCCACAGCCACTATTACTGAAAAATTGCCTGACTCTCATTTGTACCATACAATTATAAAATAAATCCATTGGAAATAAGTATTGTACTTACATGTCCGGGTGTAGCGTATAGAACAGTGTGAACAAGTCAGTGTCTGTCTGAAATTTTAGTTTGCACTGACTTCGCTAGTGCTTTTTATGTAGCCCGTTGTAAAACTAGGCCAAGATCTAGATGAGTTGACCTACTCCTCGGAAGACCTCTGTGTACCCCAGGGATACCTGTACCCCTGCTTGAGACCCACAGAGTTAGGGGGTCTGGAGCAAGGACCATACGAGGCTGAATCTCATGGGGTTGGTGACCTGGTACTTGTTCATTGGAAGCGCCACCTTGATCTCCTACATCTCAGCTTTCCTTTAAAAACGAAGTCTGATGGGTGAGAGGAAACCTGCACCGTGCGACCTGGGTAACGGGACAGCTTCAGGGAGCTGAGGACTTGTCCCGATGAACGGTTAGGGCTGGATTCACAAAGAGACTTAAGAGGCTAAAGGCCACTTCAGACACCTCCGTCCCAGAACCGCATCCCCCTGGGATTCACCAAACCCCAGCTCAGCTGCCACCAAAACCTGGAAGCGCCTGAACTTGCTCGGTGCCTCAATTTTCTGAGTCAAAGTTTACGGGGTGTCTGTGTGCGCCCCGAGCACCTGTGCTGCTCCCTCCCTCTAGGCTGCTGGCTGCCTAAGCCCCAGTATGATCCAGGAGCCAGTCTCCGCCTGACTTGCCTTGGGGCCCCAAGCCAGTGGGCATGTTCAAAGGACCTGTACCAGCTTGGGCCCCACAGGTGAGCGTCCACAGACTGGCAGCGAGGAGCATGCAGCCGATGAATGCATCCGATGAAGTGAGCTGTAGCTCACGAAAGCTTATGCTCAAATAAATTGCTTAGTCTCTAAGGTGCCACAAGTCCTCCTTTTCTTTTTGCGCATACAGACTAACACGGCTGCTACTCTGAAACCAGAGAGGAGCAAGCGCTTCCTGGTAACATTTAGCCCAGGGGTTCTGGCACTCACCTGGAAAGTAGGAGACCCCAACTCAAGTCCCCCTTGTAGCTGGGTAGGAGAAGGGATTTGAACAGGCGTCTCTCACCTCTTAGGAGTAGGCTGACGCCACTGAGCTAGAGGACAGTCTGAGGTGGTGGTGGTGGGGGGTCCCTTATTCTCTCCTGTTAACCCTGTTCAAGACTCGGGATAAAGAGTGATTGGAGCAGACAGACTAACTGTCACCTCGGGGCATGATGCAGAGAGATGATTTCTAGCCCCCACCTTTCACTTCTAAAAGGGGAACCACAAAACCATGTGGATGCTTGTTGGATGGAAATTGCACAGAGCTGTCACCAGGGACAAATGTCTCCTAGTATCACGGACACTCCTTAAATACAGCATGAGAGGCTCAGACGAGGGGCTTGTCTACACTCACAGCGCTGCAGTGAAGACGCTACCTACGCTGACCAGAGAGCTTCTCCCATCAGCAGAGCCAATCCCCCTCCCCAAGGGCGATAGCTATGGGGACAGGAGAAGTGCTCCCCTCAACGTAGTGCTGTCTACACTGGGGGTGAGGTCAGGATACTTGCATCACTTGGGGGGTGGATTTTTCACACCCTTGAGCAACATAGTTAGACCGTCATAAGTCTGTAATGTAGACCGGGTCTAAGGGCAGGTCTCCACTACCTGCCGGAAATGCAGGTAGCGATCTATCTATTGGGGGTCAATTTATCACATCTAGTCTAGACGCGATAAATCGAACCCCGAACTCTCTCCCGTCGACTCCGGTACTCCAGCGCTGCGAGAGGTGCAGGCGGAGTGGATGGGGGAGCGCTGTGAAGATGCCAAGGTAAGTCGAGCTAGATACGTCCACTTCAGCTATGCTAGTCTCGTAGCTGAAGTTGCATGTCTTAGGTCAATCCCCCCCCACACACACAGTGTAGACTAGGGCTAAGTGTGTACCCCAAATAAAAGAAGACAGGAGGAGGACCAAAAAATTGCTATCCTGGCTAAACAGCAGAGTAATGGAGGCCATTAGAGGCAAAAAGCATCCTTGAAAAACTGGAAGTCTAAACCTAATGAGGAAACTAGGACGGAGCAAAACTCCAGCAAGTAAATTGTAAAGTATAAGGAGGCAGGGCAAGGAAGAGTTTGAGAAGCAACTTCCTAAAGATGCAAAACCTAAAAGAATTAAGTACATTAGAAGCAGGAAAATATAAGGTCCCTCACCAAAGGCTTTTAAGCAAAGGAAGCTGTCATGGGATAAGGGGAAAGGTCCTCTCATAGATCAGTAACTGGTTAAAAGATAGGAAACAACAGGAATAAATGCTCTGTTTTCACAATGGAAAGAGGAAAATAGCTGGGTCCCCTAAGGATAAGTACAGTTATATCCATATACAACTGCTTCCACCACTATCGCTTATGCCAGCTCCCCTGATCCCCCTAAGCTACACTGCTATACACACAGAGATATTGGGAGAACGGCAGTTACACTAGGGCCTTTGCTGGCACACCTCTGTTAGGAGAAATACCCTGAACCAACCTAGTTACGCTGCTAAGACTTTTCCGTGTAGACCAGGCCTCGAACAGACGTTGGACATTTAACATGAGCAAGTTATACAATGGGAGCTTTTCCCAAACATCTCTAAGAGTAAACGTCAAGCAGCACTCACCGCACTGGATCTAATGGGGAACCGTCCACCCAGGTCCATTTCCCCCTGGGGTGTCACTTTAAGGCCAATCCAGATGTAGTTTGCATCTTGTACAACATCTTGTATGAAATCCTGTGATGTGCAAAGCAGAGGGGGTGGGGATGAGTATCCTGTAACATGCTAGAATTCCCTTAGTCATCCCATGAAGTGCCTGCTCTCTCCTTCAGTAGCTCTGCCCATAATGCCAGCAGGAGACCCCACCAGCCCCTGAGTTAGTTCACCCTCTCCCCTGGGTGGGCAGGGTCCCAGTGCAGGTGAACGTGGCTCTCTCTATGCAGACATGGTAACATCAGCACCAGTCCTTGGTGGCACAGGGTGAGCTGGCCCTTTAAGGGAGTCCTGGGTTGAGCCTCACCTGTGACTAGATGCCCCTGGACTCAGAGGCAAAGGTGATGGAAGCAGGTGACCAGGAGTCAGGCCTGGTGGGGCTACAAGGGCAGCCAGTCTGGGCAGGGAGAGATTTGATGGGGTAGGAGGTTTGTGTGAGTAGCTCTATGCAGAAGGGCTCTGCTGAGCTTTCAGACAGAGGGCCTGGGAGTGAAACACCTACAGGAGCCAGCTGGGCAGTCTGGGGTGGGAAAGCTGTGGGGTTCTTGTTCTGAACTGTATGTTTATAAGCCAGACCCCTAGAAGGGGAGAAAACACCCCAGTGTGGAGTTTGATTTGCGGGGAGGTGGTAGATTGTAACTAGTGACACACGTCTTTCTAGTGAAAGACACTGGGATTGTAACTAGTGACACACGTCTTTCTCCAACTGGAGTTGGATGAGCCTATATTTTATGTTACCATCTCCTCCCGGTTCTGGATCACGAGCATGCGAGAGCTCTTCCCCGAGCAGTCGTCACGGCTCCCAGTCCAATCTTTACGCTCCTTAGACAGCCAGTAGCACTTGTCCCCATGCAGCAGCCAGTCCCTGGGGTAGAGTTTGCACCCGGATCCCTCTGGAGGGAGAAATGGGAACCGAGATGTCATTAATTCTGAACCTTCAAACTACAGCTGGATGAAAACTCGTGTTCAAAGTTGTTTTTTTAATGGAAAATGCCATTTTGAGCCAAATGAAAGGTTTTATTTTGATTGCCATTTTTCATTTTTTGATGGGGGAGTGGACTTAGAATGGAAATACTGGTTTTGAGGGTGGGAGGGAGGATTTCATCCAGTTTTGGAGGGGAAATAAACATTTACTCTTAACAGTTCCCTCCATTTGAAAAGTGGGGGAGGACTTTCACTTTTCTACTTCCTTCAAAGGACATCAAACTGTCATTTCTTTTCACGTTTTTCATGACCTAGGCTTACACTGTATCAGCTCTAGTTCTAGACATTGCTGAAGTTTCCCCTACAGTTGTGTAAAAAGCAGGGCTGTCAATTAATCACCGTTAACTCACGTGATTAACTCAAAAAATTAACTGTGATTAAAAAAATTAATCGTGATTAATCACACTGTTAAACAATAGAATACCAATTGAAATTGATTAAATATTTTTGGATGTTTTTCTACATTTGCAAATATATTGATTGCTATTACAACACAGAACACAAAGGGCACAGTGCTCACTTTACATGATTATTTTTGATTACAAATATTTGCACTGTAAAAATGATAAAAGAAATAGTATTTTTCAGTTCACCTCATACAAGTCCTGTAGTGCAATCTCTTTATCGTGAAAGTGTAACTTACAGATGTGGATTTTTTTCTTATGTAACCCTTCTGCCCGTCAGAGTTGGCAGCAACAAGGGCCGAGTTCAATATCTAGGGGATCCATTCCAATAACACAATGCAAACCGGCTCGAGCCCCCACCCAGTGACCTGGGACAAATATGTACCACCCCCGCTGGGCGCCTCCAAGAGGCAATACTTCCCCTCTCGCAAGCACATAGTCTGAGTGTAGCAAAAGCCTTTTAATAACAGAGAGAAACAATGTGGCATTATGTTTGGGAAACACCACCAACAGGATTCATAACAAAACCCATGAGCAAAAACCCACCCCAAGCAAATTGGGGCATGCCCTTTTCCCTTTGGTTCTTGAGTCCAGCAACCCCAAATCACCCAAAGTCCCAAAAGTCCAATGCCCCAAAAGTCTCTGTCCCTGGTCAGGGCAGCCCCAGAGTTCGAAAGTTTATCTGCGGAGCTTTACCTCCCAACCTGGGTGAAAATGGGACAGGGGTAAGAGGCACCTTACATGATCTGAAGCTGACCGCCCCATGAACTCCTTCGCTCAGCTGCGCTCCGCTCCGCCAGCCGCCCCACAAACTCCTTCGCTCAGCTCCACGGCCCACAAGCAGCTCCTGCCATCCACAAACTGCTCCACCAGCCAGCCCGCCAACTGCTCCACAATATATCTTCCGGCTCCCCCACTACTTAACACAACACTCAGTGATTTCAGCTCTTAGGTGAATTCAGCTTGTAGTAGGGGAGCCCCAGTGCTGGTGCACTGTCAGCCCAAAATGAGCTCAGCAGCCTATAACTAGACTTCTAATAAAATCAAAATTAGCTCTGATATTCCACAGTGGAGAGAGGAGGAAGTGCAATTAGCATGTAAAGTCCTCACCAAGGGGCCCATACCACCAAGTATTAGTACTTGTCCCCAGCCTCTCTCCATTCACAGTTTTGGAACCCATGACCCTTGCCTAGCGAGTGCTACTTAGTTGATGGTGAATCCCTCCATCATAACAAAAGGCCACATACAGTTCCAAGCACAGTTCCCATAATCAGGGTAATAACAATTTATTCTTCCTGCCCCAATAACAGAGACACTGGGGATCCCACAGCAGCCAAAGTGACCATT